GGGGGCTGCCCTGCCAACGTTCAAGCAATCGAACCCTCGGGGTGCTCCCTCTGGCATCCAAGAAGCCCAACCCCCGGGGATGCCTCTCTAGGTATTCGAGGTTCCCGTCCATCTCCGCTACACTAGAGGTACCCGTTAGGGCGCGGCTCATATCATTCATGTTGGAATATGTGTGGGCACTATTTATTATAGTTTCCGATTACTTAGTTTTTAATGTAAGGATATCTTAATTGAAATTTCTCACTCATTATGGGACACCATATTCCAAAATATTATTATCTCAGGGAAAAAGACACAGTTGCGCAACTGATTGGTAGGCCCGCATTTTCAAATTACGCGGTATTAATTTAAATTGGTTCTTTGTGAAGAAGTTCCTTAAACGCGGAATGTTTGGAACAGAAGCGGACCGAATCCGACAATAGGAACTTGAACATCGGACTAACCTACAAAAGTACAAAACACGTTTGTTGACGCACGATTGCAGGGCTCCCGTTTCCCGGAGAATTCTCCGGATTCGGAACTTTTTTCGAATTCCGGAGAATTTCCCGGAACTTTTTCAAATCGGAGAATTTCAGGAATATTTGGGATTTTTCGGAACTTTTCCCGTATTTCATCTCGATTTACAAACGAAGCGCCTAATTTGGCGGTAAAAGCCGTCGAAAGTTCGAGACAGAGATTTTATTAACCTGTTTTAATCTCAAACTTGTCGTGTCGATTCAAAATTCAAACTAATCTGGAACTTTACCAAGCTTACGAAAGTTTTAAGGCCAAATTTTTAGACGTTATTTGAAATTGCTATTTTCAATGTTGCCTCTTCTTCTTTTGGAATATATATTGATTTTTTTCTTTAGACAAATGAAAGAAAAGAAAAACTGAGTTGATTTATTTATAGCTGATATAATTACGCTGAGAATTTTCATTTACTCCGTTTTTGCAGACCTCTTTTCCCCCTTCTCGAGAAGTGAAGATGTGACTAGAAAAATACCTAAATAATTCTCCAGTACTTGCCTGCCTAAATTTGTCTCTGCATTTAAATTTTTGAATTGAAGAACTGATACTTAAAAAAGTGACAACAACCATAAACGGGATCCATTCTGGGGTCAAAATTTTAACAATGGATTTGAACTGTACGCAGGCAGGCAGGCTGATGAAAGTATTCTTCGATATCTATCTCGAAGATACTTTTTTTCGGTGCATTTTTAATTTTTATTTTTTGCTTAAATATTATAGTAACAGGGCAGAATTTAGTGTGCAATCCTTTTCTTCGATTAGAGACGAATTAATGTTACTTAATCTCATTTTGATGACTTAATCTGCCAAATTCAAGCTTCCGCCTTTTCTGCCGAATTCAAGCTTCCCGCCTTTTCTGCCAATCTTGTTTTCTGAATTTTAAATTAAATCTGTGTATGTAATTTATAGCTTACGCTCTCTGCATGTCGGCAATTGTCAGTGTGACTTGTTTTCCCGTTTAAATTTGCATTTTAATGCATATTTCACGAGTAAATTACCATTTTTAAATAATCCGGAACTTTTCGGAACTTTTTTTGTAAAATCGGAGAATTTCCGGAGAATTCCCGGAACTTTTCCGGAACTTCTCCCGGAACATCGTGAATTCTGATGCGAGAGCCCTGCACGATTGACAAAATTGCACGCTGCACGCCGTCAAAATGGTAAGATCAATTTTGTTTTGTGATTGAAATCATCTCTTCGTATTTAATTGTTTCCGTCAGTTGAAAACGCCAATTGACCGACTTTTTTTGTTCGTAGGCTGCTAAGAAGACTTTCAAAATTAAGCAAAAACTCGCCAAAAAGCTGAAGCAGAACAGGCCTATTCCTCAGTGGATCCGCATGCGAACTGGAAATACCATAAGGTAAGCCTATTCCTTGGCTTCTGGAAGGATTCCCTCTCTGTTAGAACCGTGTTATTTCTAGTACATTTCATGAAGGTCATTATGCATCATAGGTTTGAAGTTTGTTTTTAGGACGTACTGCATGGTATTTGGAGTCGCACTTGGTAATGCATTGTCACGCATCTCGTCTACAATGCTGTAGCATATTTCATGTGCCACATCAAACTCTTTTCACTTGCAACTCATTCTTACGTTTTACTAAGAATGATACGTACGAAAGGTACATCGGTCAAAGCCTGATTTTCTGTGGATGAACTGGCTTGTACCCACTACAGTGCAGTCGTACGAATGAAGCTGATCACTGCAAGCTTGATACAACGTGTCAAAGTACATTGCTTTTACTTGTTATAAATGGGATATCATCTAGCCATCGTACTCCATATTGCATGAAATGCAAACCGTCGTAACCATCAAGAACCAGGGTGCAGATACTTGCCATCCTGAGATCCAGAAGGTCATCCACATATTCATCCTGTCTTTTTGATGTTGTATGCGTTGAAGATCAGAACTTGGCTGGCTATTCGATCCTGAAGTCCCTTAAACTAGTCTTTCTTAAAGTTCCTGAAGCACTTACAATCAATTGGTTGGCGAATTTAGCTAACTTTCTGATCGAGGTATATCACCTAAGTGCAAAATCAACTCTGTTTTATTTGCAACTCACTTTGGCATTTCTACCCCTCAGTGATACGTCAAAACAAGACATTTAGATATTAGAAGTCCTGCTTTAGTCGGTCCGTAGTTTACCCAGTACCTTGTATTCTACGAAAGAACTTTGCTCAATTTCTAGTTACTCTAGTCAAAGATATGAACTTGAGGTCACATAGAAGGCTCTATGATGTCTAATTTGCATTATTTTAGTGGCTCAATCTTTCAGTCGGTTAGTTAAAAGCATTTTACATTGTTCTATTTTGAAGTCTTCTCAGAAATCTTTTCTGTATCTCCTGAAGCACTTTCAGTCAATGTGTTGGTGTATTTTGCCAACTTCTTGACTGAGGTTTTTTGCCTTAAGTGCTAAATTAACATTGTTTTATTTGCAACTCACTTTGGCATTTCATCCCCAACGTGATACGTAAAAACAAGACATCTTTGGATTCGTAGCCCTGCTTTAATCTTTCTGCAGATTTTCGCAGCCTCCTATTATAGGCCATTTAAAAATATTTGTTTATGTCTAATCTCTAATCTCTTTAGTCCAAGGTGACAAATGAATATCACATAGCAATGGCTAAATGAAGTTATTTAGTGTTTGTGTATCTACAGTCGGGACTTGGAAAGTCTGCAATCATGTTTCATTTTATTTAAAATAAAACTAGCCAACAGATTTTTCTCACCGATTCAAAACTATTCACTCAAAATTTCAAAGAGCGGTTTTGTCTTGTTTAGTCTCAAAAATTAAACAAGACTGTCATTTAATGATGACTGACTAGAGTCTCTGACATGTAAGTTGATGTCAAAAAAATAAGCTCAACAGGTCTGAACTTCAAATGATTTAATTCTTTGGAATCAATAACGCAAGACGCGTGATTTATTTTTCGTAATGATGACTGACTAGAGTCTCTGACATGTAAGTTGATGTCAAAAAAATAAGCTCAACAGGTCTGAACTTCAAATTATTTAAGTCTCTGGAATCAATAACGCAAGACGCGTGATTTATTTTTCGTAATGATGACTGACTAGAGTCTCTGACATGTAAGTTGATGTCAAAAAAATAAGCTCAACAGGTCTGAACTTCAAATTATTTAATTCTTTGGAATCAATAACGCAAGACGCGTGATTTATTTTTCGTAATGATGACTGACTAGAGTCTCTGACATGTAAGTTGATGTCAAAAAAATAAGCTCAACAGGTCTGAACTTCAAATTATTTAATTCTTTGTAATCAATAACGCAAGACGCTTGATTTATTTTTCGTAATGATGACTGACTAGAGTCTCTGACATGTATGTTGATGTCAAATAAATAAGCTCAACAGGTCTGAACTTCATGTTAATTAAGTCTCTGGAATCAATAACGCAAGATGCGTGATTTATTTTTCGTAATGATGACTGACTAGAGTCTCTGACATGTATGTTGATGTTAAAATAAATAAGCTCAACAGGTCTGAACTTCAAGTTATTCAATGCCCCGGAAAGATACCCAATTGATAACAAACCACAGTCACTGACATTCACTGACTTTTTACTCAACGATGCAAAGGTGTAATGATTACTTACAAAGTCGAGACCGAGATCGGGACTGAAGATTCGCGCTAGATGAAAAAACCTGTCTGAACATCTTTGTAGCAGTTTTCGTGGGTTAGCCTGGGTCTTCCTATGCCCATGATCTGAACTCACAGCAGATCGAATAAATGAAAAAACATTTAAAAATGTTAAACAATTTTGAAGTCACCAATCATCTCAGTAACCCTATTAATTCCATGACATGAGTAATTTTGTCCGTGTAACTATTTTTACGATGAGAAAAATGTAGGGAAATATTAAAAGGTAGACTTAGTAATGATGACTGACTAGAGTCTCTGACACTTCTCATGAAGTTACAAATTTAAGCTCAACAGGTCTGAACTTTGACTACTTAAAAGTTCGCTTTGATGCTCAGTAAGTAATCCGATGGGGAGGAAAAAAAAAAAGTCTACTGTCAGTGATGTCTCTGATGAGGTATCAAATTATTAACATAACCTGGTATGCGGTATTTCCATTGATAATGTTTGCAAATTGCGTTGGAATTTTTTGAAGTCACCTAAGTATCTCTTTAATTATTGCCAAAATTCATTTTAAGAATCGCCTTTTTTTTATTGGAAACCCTCAGTAGAAAAACCACTCTCAAATTGACCGACCTCCCTAAAGCGAGCCACTAGGTAATCTGCATTTTCTTATGTTAATTTTGTTGCATCATGTGTGTCAGCTTTTTCAAAATTGTAAAACTGCCAAAAATCAGTAAAGTCACAGGGCCTCTCTCCTGCACTAAACACTTTTTCAATTTTGCGCATCATTCACTCTAATCTGTTGTATATCTATTCTGTTTTTTACAGGTATAATGCCAAAAGACGTCACTGGAGGAGAACCAAGTTGAAGTTGTAAATCACTGTAAATCTAATTTTTCTATTACTCTTATTTTTTATTAAAAAAAATCATCATCCAAAATTGTTAACCGTTCTGAACTTCAAAACCTACTGTTTTTTATGCATACAAATAGATGATAAGCTTCATTTTCTTTAAATAAATAAAATGAGGATTTATTTACCTTTTATTGTTCTCGCAGAATGAACTGTCTTATTTTATTTTTTTCTTCCGTTAAAGATTAAAAGCTCTAGTTTAAGGCTGTTTTCTATCCCAAGAGATAGCTGTAAATGAAAATACTTTAAACAGATTTCTATCCCTTAACTTCCACTTAGGCTATTTGTATAATCTGACAGACAGTAGCAATTTTTGATTATGATCCTAAATCCATTTCACAATAAGTTTGGTTTATTGCTCCTTAATTTTTGTTTGAAAAACGCTTGTTAGACTTGTGACAAGTCTGCCATGTTAAAAATAGTGGTACTTCCATTTTCGCAAAACCCCTCTAAACATTTACGAGGTTTCTTTTTTTTTTAAATGAACATTGAAGGTTTCAATGGGTTATGTATGGCAATTCTTTTCTTTTTTTCTTTTTTTTTTTTTTGTGGAAGCGCTCTTTGACCAGAGTTTCCAAAATCTCAATCTTATCTGAAAGGGGAACTGATGAAAAACAGTCCACAATTTTTATCATTACAAAATTTTACATTGCTTATTCTTTGAAATCTTAAGATACGTTTGATGCCATATTGTGAAATGGATTCTCAATCAGACTTGCTCAATAGAGCTGTATTTAGACCTGCCGGCTGAGTATTGAAATTGATAGACAAAGCCATAGACAAAAAAGACATGTGGGGTATGGAGCGATCCTATTGGTTGAAATGTGTGGTTCGTATAAACTAACGAGAAAATGATGGACTAACTGTCGGGTTTCTCATGGGTTGCTGTTAGTTAGTCTATTACCTACTGCATTTGTCCATTGCAACCACCAGCTTCCACCAATAGGTTCCCTCCATATCCCTTTTGTCATCTTTGTCTATAGCTTTGTCTATCAATTTCAATAATTGGCCCGCAGGAGTTATTCTTGTCTGGAAACAAAGCTTAGGCAAATTCTATATTAATAGCAAAAGTCGGAAACCAAGCTGAAGCAAATCTATATCAATGGCCAAAGTTGGAAACTATAAACCTCCATTGCAATGTTTCAAACTTCCTGCTCCTATATTTTTTTCTCTACAGAAGAGTAAACCTAATTTTGTTACTTGACATTTTAACAAAATATTCTGCTTACAGAGTAGAAAAACCAAAGAAGTTTTCAAGAAAATGCATTGATTAGTGTTCCAAAGAAAATATTAAGTATGAAAGGAAGTCGTTGACAGAGATACATTGGTTTGCACTTCGATTATCGATATGTGAAAACTTATGTTATCAGTACGATTATATTGCCTATCATTCCTCTGGCTCTTGAAAATTGGAGTATAGAATCATTTAACCTCCTAACTCTTTGCTAAATACTACCCAGCCAAGAACATGGTCTAAGTCCGGTAGCAGTTTTGAGCATTGCTGAGTTGCTGACATTATTAATGTTGTTGAAAAGTAAATAAACAAAAGTTGATGCCATTATAAAACATCTCTGAAGGTGAATCCAGGGTTCGATTAGGGATAATTCATGATTAGAGATAGTGCCACCGGTCACCATTGAGAATTTCACTTTCCTTCGACGATTACTGAAATAAGATTGTTCAAATTACAAAAAGCAGATCCACAAGATAAAGATTATTTTTTGCTTGATTTTTTGAGCCAAAAATATTGGCAATTAGAATTATAAGCGTAGAAAAAGTACGGCTGAAACTTTCAGCTCAGCAGCAGCGGCCGAGCTTGCAACCAAATCCCTCATGTTCTGTCTCTGTCTATCCCATTGCTGCAATGGGAATTACTTTCTGCCGTCGTAACAACTTTAGTTTTGGAAATTTTGAGAAGATTTTTTACTGAGTATTCCTCAAGTATGTTCCTTTATCCCCTGGATCCCCAATCTTGAATAAGTAATGCGGTTTTTATTATTTTGGCAAATATATCCAGCTATTTTGAGCAGTGTGACATTGTGGCCAAATTGCGAAGTTTGAAGCCTGGATTTACCTTAAGGGCCGATAGTCATTTCAAATTATCCTCTAGCAGTTAACCACACCATGTCAGAGCAGCAACTCAGATTTCCTTGGAATTCATAAAAATTTATGAAAAATGAGATACTTCAGTAAGGGCATCAAATCATACACCCATAAGATGAGGCTTCAGACTAGTTTTTTTATTTTTTATACTCCTAATTCTCAGTAGAGGATCTGCCACCCTCATTTTGTTTTATAAATTAGTTATCAAAATAAAACTTGCAGGCCAATTAAAGCCTGCAATTTTCTACCATTCTTGTAGGTACACTTTTCATTATTATGGCTTGGCATTGCTACCATGTTGAATATGAGGAGCCTTTTGTTCCGTCCAGCAAGTGGTGAGGAAAATGAAGCTCCCAGTGATTACCTTTTTACCAGATAAAAAAAGAAACATTTCTGAAGAATCTACTTTTCAGCCCTTTTTTCTCAAAATAGGCTAACAGACAGTTCAATTAATAAAGCTCATCTCGCTCAAAAGGTAATGAAGAACATCATGATAAATTGTAACAAAATTTAGTTGATGTTAAAGCTTTTGGTCTTCTGTGCAGGGTCTTTATTTCGAAGAAATACAGGAAATAGTCAGGATTTCCCTAAGAATTGCGCACAAAATTCCAAGAAATTAGACTCCGGCTAAATTTCAATATTATTTACTTAGATCCTCCTTACGACCTGCAGATCACAATGAACATTTAAAATTTAATTATTTTAAGAAATTCGTGACTAAAAAGTGAATTTATCAGCACTTCTAACTGCATTATCCAATAGAAGTGTTGCAGGCGCACCTGGCTCCTGCAATATCGAAAAGCATTTTGAATTTCTTTTTCCCCCTAGAGAGGAGAGAATTTTTATCACATTTCATAGCAAAATTTTTGAAAAGAAATTTACCCATTGTTGTTACATACCAGACAAATTTTAAATTGTTTTGTTTGTCACATTAGGCCGTACTTACAATTAGTCCTTTCAACGTTTCAATTTTGAATTTCAGTGGAAGATCAAGTTAAGATTAGAAAAAAAAATTGTCCTGTATATAGGAACAGTGATCATTGCAAGTAGATTTGTTAGTATAAACCCACTAGGAAAACCTTTCTGGGTTCTTTAACATAATTAAACAAATTTTCCTCACCGAAAGAAGTTAAGTACCTTGGAAGGAAGAAATCACCTTCTGAATTTTGTCGCTTTTTAATTTTTGTCAATATCATCAGGAAATGCCGAAGAAGGTCGCTAAGTAAAATACTAAAAATGCATGTTCAGTTTTCTTTCAAAATTTTCAGAATACAAATAAAAAGCTCCTAAAAATGCTAGGTGCCTTTGAAAAGAAACCTTTATAACTCAGGAAGGAAGCAGTAGACAAAAAGAAAATTTCCAAGTAAAGTTACTACTATAGACGCACAAGTGGGATAATCGGGATGGAAAAAAAAACTAGATCAAGTGAAACATGTAATTCTTGAACTTGGAACTGATCGTGAGTAAGGAAATTGCCAGTATACCTAAGACTTAAAATATTCCTCGATTTGGCAACACAGCGCCAGTTTCTTAATTCTGATAATTGGTCTCCCCTCCTCAATACGTGATAAGTAAGCACTTTCATCTGGGAGCAATTCACTGATTGTGAGCAACTGTCAAACCAAGTTCTTGCTGCCAATCAGTTATCTCATATATTCGTTAGGATAGTTCAACCTGCTTGTTTACAAAAGTCAGTTGTGTTTAGCAGGCTCGGTTCTTTCGGATTGACTTTCAGCAACCACCAGTCAACCTCAGCGCACTTATACTCCTGATTCTCAAGGCAAGCACAATTTGTTCTTCTTTATTATTGAAGTTCTGATCATGAACAATCAGAAATATTTAATAGGAAATCAGTCTACTTAAATCATGGCTAGTTTATTAATTTCAGAAAGGTAGTAGAGGATGTTTCAATCTCAGAAACTTTATTGAACCTATTATCATTCTCATTCACTGGACTTAAAAAAATTCTCACTGAACTGAGAAGTTACATCTTTGAATAATCAAAGAATTTTGGCTAAAAAAAAGGAAAAAACTTCAAAGTTCCATGGGCCCCTGCATTGATCATTTGGATTACATTTTGCAAAAAGGAACCACTATCTCTGGCTCTCCCATAAAAGCGCATATCTGCATAGGGAAACCAATGGCATGTATGTTGTTTCTAAAATGGGCTAGATTTATTGGTTCCTTACTGCAAAATGTGATCCATTTGAACTTGCTTATTGCCACGGCTGATCAAGGCTTTTTTAACAATGACTGTGCATAGTATTCACGGCTGATCAAGGTTTTTTTAACAACGACTGTGCATAGTATGAACAGTTGTTACTATGACTGATGTACACATTGAAGAGAGAAAAACCATAGTGTTCACAGGAAACAGGAATCTTAAGTATTTATTAAAATCGGTAAATTTAAGATGAATATTAAAAAGGTGGTGTGATAAAACCAGTGCCCTTTAATTGTAAAACAAAAAAACAAACAATTATTGGAATTAAATTATTTGAAAATCACAGCATTTTTTATGTAGGTATACTTATAATAACAAAACTATGACATTAAAACTTTATGTTTTTATAAACAACCAAGGTCTTTTGCTTCCAAGAACTTTCTGCCAAAAATTGGAAATATTGTAGAGAATTTTCGGTCAGAATATGGTAAAGCAACAGTGCTCTTCAGCGAATTGATTTGCCACCCTATTGTGAAAGTTTTCATTCATCTCAAGATTTTTATCAGCTGCGACTGCAACCAAGCATTTTCATCAAAATTTCTTTAAATTTTCCTTTTTCCAGTTAGTTTTTAATGACCTTAGCACATCATGGCCTGCAAGAAGTTAGTAAACGATCCAGAGAATTGTGTTGATGAGATGCTTGAAGGTGTCATCGCGCTTTATCCTGCTCTGTCTCTGATTCGTAAAGAAAGAATAATTTTTCATTCCGTAAGTTCCTTGTTTATAACGATTGCCTATTAATTAAAATTTGTACCTGCACCTCAGTTGATGGAAAAACAAAGAAAAGACACTGTTTCGTCTCTCATGGACCTTCCAGTAAAATTTTATAAAAAAGAATCATTCTACTCTCTGTATTATCCTGTATCAAAGTTGTTGCATTTCATAATTTTACATGTGTTATTCTCAAGGATACGAGCATGAATTATTTTTTCCGGCTCTTATGAGAATATAAGAACTAGGAACTCGAGGAAGAGTTCAACAATGAAAATATGCGTTTTCTCTTTGGTTGCCATAAACCTAAGAAAGAAAAAAAATTTAACAAGAGATTGGTTAACAATTTGAAACTTCTTTAACTTCTTGTTTTTTCAATTTACCGGTTTCAAAAAATATTAAGAGGAAAACATGAGTTAATGTGGAATAAAACTTGTGCGGGAAAAATATGAGTACAGGTGTATAACCCTTTTTTTTTCACCGATCAGCTTCTAACTATGACAGATGGACCACTTAAATCCAAAGATTTTCAAGTTGATGCTTACCATTTTCATTTCAGAAAATTAGAAAAGGAAGAGTGGCTTTGGTTGCTGGAGGTGGCTCTGGACACGAGCCTTTCGCTGCTGGATACGTCGGAGAAGGAATGCTCACTGCAGCTGTCGCTGGATCGATTTTTGCTTCTCCACCATCATCGAATATATTTCATGCTTTAAAAGTTGTTGCGGAGTTAAATGGAAGTGAGTTTTCCATTTTTGCTCATCAAGTTAGTGTAGCACTTGCATTTTATTCATTATTATCAGTGATGAAAAATAATTTATCTTTTTCATGGAAAATTCCAGAATTTTGAGTTGTGATCAATAATTTCTCCTTAAGTACCAACCACTAGCCAAATTCTTGTGCAAGTTCTGATTTGATACGTAGTTGGACCTCACGTTTATTGAAATTCACCCAAAAGTGCTTATGATATATTTATCGGCTCTATTGAAAACTGTTTTACACTGGATTTTCTACTATGTAACTCTTTAAGCTGGTTTAAGAAAATTTGTCATTTTCTAAGAAAAGTACATTCTTATTTATTCTTTCACCGTGTTTTCCTATACGTATTATAACTCTTCTACTTCTATTTCAGATGCTGGAATCCTACTTGTTGTGCCAAATTACACAGGAGACCGATTGAATTTTGGTCTAGCTGCAGAAGAAGCAGCCTGTTTAAATATTAAGGTAAAAAAATTGATAAGTAGTGCAGCCTTTGAAAAGCTTACCACATCATAAAATGTTTTATTAAGACCTTTCAAGTTCGTTTAATGTAGCAAGTATTTACGCAAAGCTGAAAATGAAATTGAATCCATATTGGGGCCAAAAGTGATTAGTGTACAGAAATGAGGAGACCACTCCAAGGGTTTTAAATTGATGATTTTTTGTAGGTAAAGAAACTCACAGGAGACAGACACTCAATAAACTGGATCCTGGAACCTTAATTGTTCAGTTCATTGGACGGAACAAAATTTTAATGGGCTATCAAAGCACTGTTATCACCCCTATCATACTCTCGTGAAAGTGCTATGTGAAGTGCCATGCACACTTCTTATTGCTGTGTTGCCTTTTAGACTTGGGATAGAAACACATCAGTTGTGGAAAAAACTGCAAATTTCAGAAGATGTTTTAGATACTTACGCATATGAAAAATGAAAGAATATGCTAGGTAAATCGAATCAAATACAATTAGAACTGTTGATTTTTATGATTTATGGAATTTTCTTCTCGCAATTTTATGTACCAATTCAATTTAATTTCACACAATATCTTGTACTATAATTTGGACCACATTTTGCAATTTGGAACTATAAATTTTATTCCGGTTTAAAAACAATGTATGTGCCATTAGCTTCCCTGTGCACATAAGTGTTTTTCCAGAAAAGCCAGAATTTATAGTTCCAAATTGCAAAATGCAGTCCATTTAAATGACTTCATTTGTGAGAAGATAATTCAATTTTAAGAAAGAATCTTCAAAATTTCTCATTTTTATTTTGTTTTGAAATTTTTAGTCTGTCATTTTGTTGATTTTTTCTTTTTGGAAATTGTTTTCATGCATCATTTCATATATCTGTGTAACTCTCTTTCCAACAATGGTACCAAAATCTGAGTGTTCTATGAAAATTTTGAGCTTTTTAGCTCTGAAAGCTCGTTTCCTTTGGAAAGTCATAGGTAACATTTGTTGGTTTTAGGTAAAAACCATTCATGTTGGGGAAGATTGTGCTTTGTTATCCAATGGCACAGAAGGTTTTGGATGTGGCCGAGGGCTTTGTGGTAACCTGTTTGTATTCAAGGTGAGATCTATTAAATTTTAAATATTCTAATTATCTTCGCCGCGCTTACTTGGCTTGAAATTGCCATTGCTGCCCCAACCCATCCCAGGGGTTTTTCTCTTCTTCTTTTTTGGTCCATATGTTGAAGCTAAAATGAGTCAATATGGCAAAAGGTTATTCAGCTGATCATTTCAAAGAACTAAAAAAAATGGGAACTAAACATTGCTTAAAATCGGTGCGAAAAACACATTCAGTCAAAATATTCCTCTGAACTGGTTAGTTCATAAGGGCATCACTTATTTTTCAATTTTAATTTACTAACGCTATTTTTAGTACAGGCTCCCAGTTTCAACTGTGCGACAACTCAAAAACTAAGAACATACCAAGTATAATGATGTGTGTGTATGAGCACTGCAATAAAGTAATAAGAGCAATAATTTAAAATTTGCTTAATATCTACAGATAGCTGGAGAAATGGCAGCCCAGAACAATAATTTGGAATATATTTATAAAGTGAGTGAAAAAGTGCGTCAGTCAATGGCAACGTTTGGCGTTTGTTTGAAACCATGCAGCCTCCCTGGGCAAGAGATCCTGTTCCAGCTTGCTGATGATGAAATAGAATTAGGCCTTGGAATTCATGGTGAAGCCGGTGTGTCGAAACAGAAGGTAAGAAGAAAATTGTGCTAATGGATATCTTTGTTACATCTCATGTTAATTGTGAAAGCTAGAACTTTACTTCTGACAAAAATCAGAGTTCAATCTTAAAGCAGTCAACATTTTTTGCAGAAAAGTTTTTACGTACCAAAAAATTTAAATTAATTTTTATTTTTTACTAATTCAGCTTTAAATACGTGGTTTATTTTTTGTTTATTAAGTTCACAACAGCATCAGAAATTGTCCAACTCATTCTTGATAAGCTATGCAGTTGCCTATCTTTGACAAAGGGTTCAAAAGTTTGCGTTTTGATCAATAATTTGGGTGGGACCACGCAACTGGAAATGGGCATTGTTGCTAGCAACGTCAAATCTCAATTAGGTAATGCTCCTCACTTTTCATTTTCTTCTACTCATATTACATTCAATTTGAGAAAATTTTAATTTTCAAAGCCGCAAAATTTCTAATATTTTTGGAAATCAGATGAACTTTCCTGCTGATCTATTGACATTGGAATTGAAAAATTGCTTTCGTAATTTACTTCGGTATGATTTTCTGAACATCCATCCTTCATTCAGTAGCTTCCAGGAATTGTATTTGATAGTTCATTCTGGAATATTGAAACCCATGACTCAATGAAGTATCACCCAGATTTAATGGACTTAAAATCAATAAATTCATAAAAAACTCTTAATGGTTTGTTATGCTGAAGCAGAGTTTGTAACACTCTTAAAAATCTAAGATTTATTGCATTATTTTCAAATTTGCATGTCTTAGAATTACCTTGAATTCAGAGAAACTGCATGAACGCGCCTGAAAGGCATTGAATTGTGTGTCACCTACCTGAGGTTTTAATCCTAACTGCTTCGTGGATCAGTCTTTATATTTCTCTCAAAGTTGAGTGGCTTCCAAAATGTCCCATACTGACATCTATATGTCATTAATTCAATTCTAAGTAACAAAAGCAGCGAATGAAGGTATAAAAGTAGGAAATTGTCTTTTTTAAGGCATTCCTAATAACTTCAGAAATTTTTTGGGTCCTTGAAATATTTTTTGGAGTTTCTAAGAAAGTCTTGGAAATATTTTTTAGAACTCCCCTAAAAGTCCTTGAAATATTTTCTGGAACTTTTCGGAAAGTCCTCGAAAACTCTTAATTCTTTTTAAAAAGCTGCCCTGAAAACTGCGGAAGGCTTGTTGGTAATTTTCTTTCGGAGCTTGAAACCAAATCATTAAACTCAAATCAAAAAATTCAAAAATTTCAAATCATTAAAATCTTTTCGAATGACTTGCAGGTGAAAGAGGTATTACCGTCCATCGTATGTATGCTGGTGCCTTGATGACATCTCTAGAAATGTGTGGAGTTCAAGTATGTCTTTTGAAAATCCACGAAAACCCTGAATGGTTGGTTTACTTGGACGTCCCTACGGATGCACCAGCCTGGCCTGGATCCCCCTCCAGTGAACCATCTTTCTCTGCGGCTTCAGCTGTGCCAAGTGGCTGCTCTAAAGAGAGCTTACCATCAGGGAGTAATGTAAGAAATTCAAACACCCAATTTTCAATCTTGGCAATGAAATTTGTGCTAATAAAATAAGCTATAATTTGTATGAGGGCTGCTCAACTCATGAATATCTCTATTCTTCCTCTAAAATCCATATAAATGGACCAATGTTAAAAAACTTGAGCTTGAAATCTTCCGCAGGATATACTGCATCCAGAATAATGAACATTAAAGTTATCTCTTGTTGTCATTGAACGACCCTTGTAGGTCTACTCCAGGTTAACAGTGTATTGGTTAGTGCCTCTTTACTTTCAATTTATCTTGTTATGGAGTTTGTGACACCTCGGAAAGTCCACGAATATATTTGAATTCTTTATTCAGATCCTTAAATTTCCCTGAATAAGTAAGGAAATTGCTTTAGTGCACCTACAAGACCTTCGATCTCTCGTTGTCTATTATTATTGTCTGTGGCTGTTCAGAAAATCTTTTTTCTTCTTTCGCAATGTGGACTTTCGAAGCGTTGAACAACAAAATCTGTACATCGTCATCATTTATATATATTTGCCCGTTCGCAAGTTTAGCGGAGATATAAAGTATGTTTTGTAAGTAAAGTATTGTTTCTTCAACAGGTACATTTGAAATTTGATGAACCCACTGTTAGCATCTTCACATCTTGTTTGAGAAATGTAGCGGGCAGCCTGATCAATGAATCGAGTAAACTGAATGATTTGGATAGTGTTTGTGGCGATGGTGACTGCGGTAGTACTTTACACCGATTTGCTACAGGTAGAACCTTTTTGTCTCTCTCACCCTAGTAAGTTAGACATCTAGAATTTCTAGAAATTAGATCAGGATCAAGAATGAAATAGGCTATAGGTTAATCATGAGAATTTCAGTTCTTTACCGAACTTTGATACTCAATTGCAAAATCACCATCTCTTTGTATTGAAATTTTTCATTTTTAAAACGAATTTTAATAACTTCTTGTTTTATTTTTATAAACTCAGAAATTCATCAAGCTCTGGAACAACACATTTTGAAGTTGGAGTCACCCATCATGTGCTTACATCAACTTGCTAAAATAGCAGTGGAAAAAATGGGTGGCACATCGGGGGCAGTTTACGGTCTTTTTCTAAGAGGAATTGCTTCTTCTTTAAGAGGTACCTCAGCTTCAGATTGGGCCTCTGCTTGGAAATCAGGCATTGACTGCATCTTGAAATACAGCTCTGCAAGATTAGGCGATCGAACTCTGGTGAGTCCGCTTTTCAAATTAAATTTTTCAAAGCAGGTGAAAAAAAATTCTTTTAGGTCCATGTGGACTGTCTACAGGAAAACCTACACGTTATTGCTCCATCAGACTGGGAGAAATGTTCTGCATTTTGGAACTATTTGCACCCTAGCTCTGCGCACATTTAAACAGTTTTCAGCAAAAGGAAATCCAGTTCGATTATAAAAAAAATAAAATGAATGATAGTTTTGAGCTTTTCTAGAAACATGCTCTTTCCAGCTTGGTATTTAAAAACTGCAAAGCATACTTACCATGCAAACATTCAACTCAAGAGTCAGGTTTTTACATTAAACCTCAAGGGATTAATGTTCAAACCTATTTTCTCCATCAAGTTCATCACCTATGGTTTCCTATTGCTAAATACTGCTGTTTTATTTGAATATTAGCAAAACAAAATTTTAATAAAATCAAGGAAATGTTGCTTGAATTATCTCTAACCTCACAAACATTTTCAAAACATTCAATGCATAAATATCAGTCAGTTCTCTTTTCGAAAGTAAGGCAGGAGTAGAAATTGTGGAAAAAGACATCAAAGAATATATTTTTTCAGCTCAACCGTTCTTAGTTACAGTTATTCTACTGAAACGTTGCATTTACACACAAGTAATTTTGTGTTCCCATCTTGAACTTAACAATGCAGCCTGTGAATTCTATTCATTCTTCTTTTGTTTCCTCCCACAGTTAGATGTATTGATTCCTGCATGTGAAGTCTTTGAAGATAGTCTTGAAACAAGTGATTCAATCAAGGTAGTTCTACAAAGGGTGATAGATGAGGCAAATATTGCTTGTGAAAAAACATCCAAAATGAAAGCAAGGTAAGACATCCTCCCCAATCGCTTCTTTGAAGCCATTTTTTCGTCTTTTTGTTTTTGTTATTCGTTTATAAGCTTTATTGTATACCTATTTGTACTAAAACGAAAATAAATTGAAATTATTCATTTATTGAATTCATTCATTTGATGGGTCATAGCCATAGACTTAAAAGTTCACTTGCTAATTGGATAGAGTGAAGTAAAACCATCATATCTGCATTTCGGTACTTCAAAATTCACCTCCTATTTTAATTTTTTGGAAGAAAACCAACAATCATTCTCACTTGAAAATCATTGCAATTTTTCTTGCCTTTTCAGAAGTTATTTCCACAAAATTAGAAGCAAAAATGTTGCTTGGTTTCTTTCCTGAAATTAAAATAGGAGATGGCAATTTGAAACACTGCAGTGTAGATGTGACTGTCTTGCCCAACTCTATCAAATTGTTGGTGATAATTTTTTGTTCAAATCGATTGCAAAAACTTTAAAAACATGAGTTCATAAAATGCTGGGCCACCTAAATTTGTTTTTTGTTCTATTTTATTTTTCTCTATCAACCCCTAGGATTTTCTTCTTTTAAGAGCAACCTAACCTAACTCATCATGAGGCATTACCTTGTTATGAAAACTCGACTGTTGGTTTTTGATTAGCCCCCCCCCCCCCCNCCACGGTTATGATTTTTTGAATCGTTTCATTTTTTCATGGAATTCTTTGTGAGGAAAACTATACCACAACCCTGCAAAAATTCCTTGCCAAGAAATTCTAAAAATTCATTGAAATAAAAGAGGTAAGTAATAAATGAGTAAATAGTATACAACTTTATTTTGCATGTCTCTCATTTCTTTGTTTCAGAGCTGGTCGAGCAAGTTATGTGAATGCTGCATATGTTTCTGATGTTGACGCAGGAGCGTATGGAGTGACGGTGATACTGCAAGCCATCAAAGAATCTATTTCGTAGTTATATGCTTGCACATATCAGTCATCGGGGTCTCATCAAGAATCAAGTTCCTAGCCCTAGAATTTTTTGAATTTGTCGACAGTACTATCTACTTTTTATTTTTAATACCTTTTAGGTTCTGTAGCAAGTTGGTTTTTTTTTCATATTTTGTTTACCTGCAAATGAATCAATGGTAGTCCTGTATGATGAAATATTAAAGAATAAAGTATTAAATTTTATCATGGAAATTTTATCTTTATTCTTCTCCTCAAAGAAAACTTGTTTTCAAAGAGAGATTTGCAATCTCGTCACTTTCTGAAAAATACGGCAGACTTTTTGATGTGTTGCAAACATAATTATATTATATCATATCGTTATTCCATGTGAAAAACAAATGTATCAGCCCAGAAACATACATTCTCAGACCGATTGTTGGTGATGTTGCCAGTGAATGTTAAAATTCATTACAAAACTAAAATGAGTCCTAAAACGTCTTCACAGTTGTCTTCCTGATTTTTTGTAACTAAAGTTGCACCGAACAACATATCTTATAGGCAGAAAATTTTTATTGCATTAAACAAAAGGGAGCTAGATTGATTAAAGTGTTTTAAAAATTGTCCAAATTCTTCTTCTCTTAGTAAAAAAAATACTAAATGTATGCCCAATTTTAAAACGAAATTTACCTTATTATTTTTCTTAAAAAGTAGAAAAAAAAACAGGAACTACATATTTCCTAGTCTGGGCATTTCTCAGATAGAAATGAAGATGTGTAATTTTTGCAACACCATAATTGAGCTGGTTCCTTTCTGTTAAATACAACACTCTGTCCATACATCTCATGCCTCGATTCACGATCTAATTGTCGTATATTTTTCAATTTACAAAATGCTCAAAGAAGAGTCAGGTGGTGCAAGAGTTTAAGTATGCTGCAGAAGTATTTATTATTTGAAACGACCCAAATGCTCAGTCAAAAAAATCTTAGTCCCAGCTAGATTAAAAGTGTACAAAAGAACAATAGCTCCAAATACTTGACTCCCTGATCTATTTAATCGCTATATTGCTGTGTTGACATCAGATTTTGTGGTAAAAATATAGTTTTCTGTGGGAGCGGGGATTTGCCACCAGCTTTTGGAAATTACCCATGGCAACATACAGTCAATGAATCCATAGCTATGAGCAATAGGACCATGATAAACATTTTTTGAGGAGTCGTGCCATTCACTGCTGAAGATGATGATAGCTTTAAGTCACGGATGCCGTTTGTCTAATATCCGAACTAACATCTGACTTCCCGACACATCGGGTGGGAATTCGAAGAAATCAACTCAAGGACCAACGCGCACCTAGGGGCGGGAGCGACAAATCGAATTTCCCGCTTTCCGCTGAGCATTTTTATTGGCATTTTTGAATCAGGGGATATTCGACGTCACCAAACTTGCAGCCAATCACAGCGCTCTTTCACGAAGGTCATCAACCAGCAGCGCTTGGGTTTTTCCTGGCCCTTCAACGATTTCTGTTTACATCAGGCTCACGCTTTCAGGTCCAATTACTAAATTTCTGACAGTTTCCTTTATTTTAAGCCTAGTTAAGTATATCCAACTGTTATCGAGTGATTTATGGCCAACGTGAAAGTGGAGAACATGAATACTTCCGGAGGAGACCTGAATAAAAGTGGAGGACGTGGTGGTGGACCGGGTAACCAAAAATTCAATAATGCCGGCTTCGGCGGCGGCAAAGGCAGAAGTCGTGGTGGTGGAAAGGCCGATGGCCGAAATTTCAACAACAAGGTGAGTTATTGACACTTTACTCCCATACAAATTTCATTCAAAGGCAAATCCAGTACTCACCGCCAGTAGAGCTTGGCACTGTGGGTGCGCAACCTTTGTCGCAACTACCATGTGGAAAGCTATCTGCAAGGAATTTCAGCCATTACTCATCAAATCTAGACATTTCAATCCGTTTACTCCCTCAGAGACCAACGTTTCATCTCATACAAATACCTCCCTGCCCGGGTTTTGCCCTGTGCTCAGTGGGTTTCATCAGAGATAGTTAGGCTACGGCACCCATCAAGTTCCCAGAAAACCCACTTTTTCACACCCTGAATCAAAGCTTAGAATCATTTTATGGGAAAATTAATACTGAGAATCATTGAGCCCCACTTGTGTTTGTAACTCATGTGTGAAATTATTTAGGGAGCATCCCTGATGAAGGGTTTTTGTCTATTGGTCGGTACTAGTGACCTTTTCCAAGGATCACAGAACCATGTCATTATACTAGTTTATGGTGCCTCAGATCGTTAGGCGCAACCTCCTTTGTTCATTCGACTGGTGCTTGGATGTCAGTGTGGATCTTCTAGTGCACGCTGTACGGTCTGAAAACCTAACCTAACTTCAGTTTTCTACCGACGTGAAACGCTACGAACCACTAAACCAGGCACAATTTCAAGAATTCTGATGAATGTTTTCTTTTAACAATTTCTTGCAGAACACGACTGCGCCAAAAAATTATTTAAACTTATTCCTTATTTGCACATTAATGTTCTCCTCGATAATATAGCATTGGTTATAGGAAATTTGAACTGCCTGCTCTACGGGCTTTTTTTTAATCGGAACTGCAAAGGATTGCTACGGAATGCATCCCTCTTTTGTCCCGTTCAACTGGCGCATTCCAGTGGAAAGTGTGGTTTGCTCTTCTGAGGTGGGTTAGGCCGGTTGAACTGTCTCGAACCGCAAAGATCCTGATCCATCGCGTTCCATGGATGAAAAAAGCCCTCTTTTAAGAAATGCAGATTCAACTGTAATAAAACATATCCTACAGTTTTGGTATACGTTTTAACCGAGCTTTCCCTCCAGCTCTATTTTGTCAAAGTTGTAACTGTGTGCAACAGCTGAGCTGAAGCGTTAAAGGTTGCCATCATGTATTTTCATATCACAAGGTATGTCACATACTTACATAATATCAAATGTGCAATAAAATTATAGTAGATCATGGGTTTTTCCGAGTGGGAAATCTTATAAACATTGTAAAACGTTAGTATCCTAGTTAGGAGTTGGTGCATGAATCGTGCTCCATGTCTAAATGCGATAAGGAAACATACATTATCCATATTATATTGATTAAATCTGCCCCTTATCCAGTGGTCTACGGCAATGAAGAACAGGATTTATCCACTGCAGATGGATTTTTGACAGTGAATCCATTTTTATTGTGTGCTATGAAAATGTATTTTCAAGATGCGTGCGTTATTTATGAAACTTGTATGTTTTACAGGGCCCTGGTGGACCCGGCGGACCTGAGGGCAATGAGCAAAGAGGGGAGAGAGGTGGCCGTGGAGGTGGACGAGGAGGAAGAGGTGGTCCATCTGGGGAAAGATTTGCAGAGGTAAGTCTCCTAAATACTCTGCTGCTTTTTATAAACTATTATCTTATTGTTAGCCAAATTGTGTAATTTTCAGGTCAATTTCATCCCCTCGCAATTTTGGCATCAGTTAATTACCTAGATGGTAAATCATTTCGCATGTCTTTATTTATAAACTAAAGGGATGTTTTATAAAAAATTAGAGAAATAATGGGCCTGTTGCAAACTTTTGCTAGAGCAAAAATAAGAGTTGTCTCTAATTGGAAATGGCTCAAAAATCAAGCTGAGCGCATCAATAAAATCTGAAATGCACTCCTAACTTCACAATCTGCGGAAGAAATTTGGGTTTTTTTGAGCTTCCCGCTTCAAAAATGATTTGACGGCACAGGTGGACATTTAGCTAGAGGAGTCCTTTCTCCAAATCTCTCTGTGCAATAGGATACTGCACAATATTCAACATGGCCAACGCCAATCTGCCAAAACTCATGTGCCGGGACGAGACTCTTACCTTCTATGAACAACCTGGCGTGTTTACATTCACGTTTTCCCAACGTTGATAAAGATCTGTCTTGATATCGTCTGTTATGTTGAGTATTGCAAAACATTCTAGTACGCAAGGGTTGAATGGAATGACTTCTTTAACGAAATGTTCACCTGTGCTGTGGTATTGATTTGGAAGTGCAAAGCTCACAAGAACGCAAATTTCTCATGCAAATTGTGAAGTTGGGAGTGCATGTCAGACTTTGCCTATGTGCTCATTGTGATTTTTTACCCATTTTTTTCAAGAAACAACTCCTCTTCTTGCTCCAGCAAAAGTTTGTAGCAGGCCCCTTTAAATAAAACATTTGGTCAGGACTAAATGGCCATTGAGCGTAGCTCTTTCGGCAGGACGATGCATTTAACAGATGGACACAAAATACAATAATTATCAAATTCTTAGGCTTAACATTTCTTAGTTTGCTAACATCCAGTGCTCCCTGATCTCTCTTTATTCCCTGGGTGATTTTTCTGATCCTTCTGAAGCTCCTACACCTTCTTATTTCTTGGCAACATCACAGATGGCCATTTTTACTTCACTTGATAATATGAAGATAAATCAACCCCTCAGCCTCCTACTTTTTCCGCCCAAATTAAAAAATATTGACAAACTAGAGCTGGTCCTATTATTTTTTTTAAAATTTTCACTCTCTCTTCTTGTTTGATTCCCATCTCACAACTTGACTTACCACTGTATTTCTAAGTGTAAAAATAGTCTGTTCAAGAGAGCAAACTCTCAGGTGTATGAAAAAGGCCCATCTGAGTCCAATGTCCTTCTAAAAAAATGTTTAGCGTGCTAACAAAACCAACCCACCGAATGTCTGAAATTTTATAGATCATACTTTAACTCGTTGACTGTAACTGGAAGTTGGTCGCTGTCTGCGCTGCTCAGAGCATGTCCTGACTCAGCAGCGCAGAGTTTGTCAGTCGACTTGGCAATAATTTATGATCTGTTTTTTTTTTTTTAGTTTTTCCGCATTCTGGCAGCAATGTGACCATTTTTAGTGGAGTACAAAATTGTAGTTCAATTCAATGACTTATTAGCATTTCTTTTCTACCATTTTCAGGACAGAATCATGGACAAACTGAGGTCTATAAGCGGACCTACAATCGACCTACCTCCTCAACAAGAAAAAGACAAGAAGTTTGGTGGGAACTGCAGGCTCTATGTTGGTAATGCTGGCACCAACTTCACAGACAAAGATCTCGTGGAAATGTTCAAACCCTATGGAGAAACTAGCGAGCCATTTTACAGTGCAGAAAAGAACTTCGGATTTATCAAGATGGTAAGTGGAAAAAGCCTCTTAAGTCTGATATTGTGTAACTAACATCGTAAAGCCTCTAAAGTCTGATATTGTGTAACTAACACCGTAATTTTTCTCAGGTAGTCTTTTTCAAGTTAACTAACTGATATCTTTCAATGGTGCCAGGTTTTTCTCTGTTGATCAATTACGAATCTAGATCACTTGTGTTTCGTCATTCAAATAACATAGCTCATGCAATTTCAATCGCACTCACTCTTTGTCTAGTTTTTTGAAAACTTTAATGTCTTACTATTTTCACCGTCTTGTTCTTTCTAATGGATCTGTTCTATCACCATTGAGCCTATACTTTGGTTTGTCTTACTTTCCTTAGTTATGACAGTGTTATGAGCATAAAAGTAATCGTAAGACCCCGTTTGAAAAGTATCTTGTGATATTTTTGTATTTTTAAGAAAACAATTTAACGCAGGATCTAAAAATTTATTTAAGTAAAACTTGAACTCAAGTTTTCAACATGGAAAGTGATCTCACATTCCATTTTGCACATCTTTTACGTCAAAAGGAGTTCTTCTTAAAATAATGGATTATCAAAACTGTACACATTCAGACAAATTTGAAGGGTAAAATCATGTCCTATTAAAAATAGACCTGATGCTGTTGAAGTGCTTCAAGTAATGTGCGAAGGTGGTTTCTTTTGTAGAGCTGTGCGAATAGTGAATTTTTCAAGGGAAGCAAGTAGCGAATAATTAAAGTCAATTATTCACAACTACGAATAGTAAAACGAATAATTTAAAATGACTTTATAAGTGCAAAAATTCGCAAGTATTACGAAAGTCGACAAATGAGTGTGATTAATTTTTTTAAGAATTTTCCATTTGCTCCTACACCTGCACAGAAAACAATGAAGATCTTTGAAGATCCCTGGATGCTGGCTTGACTGTTCCTGCATTCAATGTATGGATTCCCAGGATTTGCAGGTAACTGCGCAGGCAGTCAAGCTAGTATTTAAGGATCACCAGACACATTTTTAGTATTTCATTTCTTACGGTGTTCATGAAAATGTGTTTATGAACTTTTCCCTCTTCCTGTCTTGGTTATTTAACTTTCAATGTGTGGTACTCTCGGAGCAACCAAAATATGCAGGCCAATTGCAATTGCGCGTGCTATATGTAAACTCGGTAAAGATCAAAGGAGATCCGCCATTTGTGATGTTTTGGATGGAAGTCTTGCACAGGTCTTCGCAACATTTCATGATTGCCACCCGAAATTCGTTATGTTTGACGGCGCGAATATTCGAAAATTCGTTATTCCAGACGGTGCAAATATTTAAAAATGTTGGTTTGAAAATTCACTCTTTGCGACGGTAGAATATTCGCCATTTGCGAATAGTGCGCGAGTCAGACAAAGCGAATATTTGCACAGCCCTATTTTATTGAAATGAAAATTCTGAAAAAACTTGAATAGTGAAGGGAAGGAGCATCAAGATTGGTCCCTCTTCCCTACCCGAGCCAAAAGGTCTCCATATTTTCAGACAAACATCTTCGATTTCATCGGGCTGATGAATCTTTTTTTCTTGCTTTTATTGAAACATGTTTTTTTCTGTTTGACAGGATTTCCGCAGCAATGCTGAGCGAGCTAAGAGGGAACTAGATGGCCAAATGCGAAAAGGCAAACCCTTGAAAGTGCGATTTGCTCCACCTGGAACTATCCTCAAAGTGAAGAATTTATCAGACCAGGTTTCTAATGAGCTGTTGGAGCTAGCCTTTAGCGTTTTCGGCGAAGTAAGTCCACCTCTTTTTCTCTGTTTCTACACTTGAATTTTACATGAATATCTGCTGTGTGAGGATATGCATTGGTCATTTTCAGATTGTAGGATTTCTTTAGATAAACTGATAAAAACTGGAAAGACCTAATAAAATTTGTCTTTTAACTTCCAGACTTTGTTGAGTTTTGCTAATTAGTTCTAAAACTAGGGGCTTATGGGGCTGCTTCGCAGCCCCATATTTTTCATGTACACCTTTCCCTTTCACATGTCTTTTTTTTTTTTTTATTTATTTTCATTTAATTTTCTGGTTTGTCTTTGAATTGGTCCTAATTTTTTCCTTGAAGTAATAAATAGAACAATTTTTTTTCAAAAATTGTAAGTTTATTTTGTAAACTTTAAATTAAAATTTTTTTTAAACCTTCATACAAACTTCTTTTTAAGCTTTTACCTTTGTTTTTAAACTAAGTTTTAAGTATTGGTTTTTTTTATCTTCTAAAAATACTTTACTCTGTTTTCCTTTTAATTGTTGCTTCTTCTTTTTCGATTTCTGCCCTGCTTTTTTTCCAACTTTTCCTTCAACTCTTCTCTTTTTCGTTCCTCCTTTTTTCTTTTCTTCTTTTTTTTCTTCTTCATTTTCTGCTCTCTCTTTATCTTCATCCAATTATTCCGCTTTTTCTTCTTCTTCTTCTTCTTGTTCCTTTTTCTTTCCGTTTTCCGTATTTTCTGTTTCAGAAGTTTTTTCTTTTTCCAGTTTCTTTATCTTACTGTTCCACATGAATGTTATGAGAAAGAAAACTTGGAGGTTATTGACTTGATGAGGAAAAATTGGAAATAGGAAAAAGATGGGGCCAATCACGATTTGGGGGTAAAATTGGAAAAGAAAAAACGCGGGAAGATAATATGAGAAAGCGTAAAAAAAAAACGCGGGAAGAGAAAAATTTAAGTTGATGGCAGTTGAGTGTTGGAGGTAACCTCATTTAATGATGATTTTTGAATGAAAACAGCTAATAAAAAAACAGTAAATAGTAAAGAAAGATGCATAGCAACAAAACTTTTCCAAAAAAAAACAAAAAAAACCCCTACTTCCCCTCATCCAATTTATGAGGTTTTAGGGATTTAAAAATCGGGGACAAACCCCAGAAAATAATTTATAATTTTCCCGAAGCATTGAGTACCACACCTTTCAAATGAACCAACGCCCCTCGCAATTAGTACAGAGGTTAATTCACTATTTCATTCTATTTTTCAAATTATGTATTAAGATAGACCTTTTAACCCTCACTCCAAGAATATTTAGCCTTTGATGGCGATTTATTTACTTTTGCGTGATCAATGTGGTCATATTGGCAACTTTTTCTCCAAAATTCAATATTTTTGTCAAGTCCCTTCAGCCCCATCAGCCAAATCAATGTCGGCTCTGCTTAAAAATTGATTTCACCTGCCAAGAATGTGTGTGGATAAGATTTTTATGTCAACCTCCCCCATTGGAGTTTAACAGTAATTGTAAAAAAATATTTTTATTTTGTTCATGTTTGCATTCCTTAACGTCATGAGAATGTTTTCACAAACTTTAAAGTTTGTACGGCTTTAGACGCCTATGTAGTGGTGTTTCACACATTAAAAAATCTTGTTTGTTCAACCTGAGGTATGTTTTTAACTGACCCGGTGAATTTTTGCTCAAATGATAAATTTATCATTGTTTACTTGCTTTTATTTAGGTTGACCGAGCTGTTGTTATATCAGATGAAAGGGGTAATTCAACAGGTGAAGGAATCGTAGAATTCTCTCGTAAACCCGGTGCAACAGCTGCTCTGCGAAAATGTTCAGAAGGCTGCTTCTTCATAACAAAGTAAGTTCATCTCTTATTATCTTATGTGTCTTGTATTGAAAAATTGAGATGCATAATCAAGCACAGTAGAATCTCAATAAGTCGGACAGGCTCGGGACAAGTTATTTTTTTTATCATTAGCGGTCTGAGAAATGCTGGGTATTTTTCATCCAATAAATTTTTGCAGGAGGAAATTGGACCAAAGCTAAAGTCAGCGGAAATTTTCTTTAAAATGATGCGGCTATTAACAATTATTAAATGTGCTGGAATGTCTCTGCAGGGTTTTTCTTTGCTCTAATACAAAAAGTACTTTTACTCATAACGTTTTCCTTCACTTTCAAAATTACCAAGACTCTGACAAGATTTTCATGATAAATATGACAAGTATTTTACATATTCTCTTGATAATTAATTAAGATTCCTCATTTTTTCTTTCAGTGACTTGCGCCCTGTAATCGTTGAGCCCTATGAACCTATTGATGACAGTGATGGTCTTCCAGACAAAAATCTCAACAGAAGGAATCCAGCCTTCATCAAAGCGCGAGAGGTACAAATTTGATTATCTTGCACAAGTTGCTTTGTGCAGTGTTACTTCTCTACATCATGCGCTCCCTTTTTAACTTTCCAAAAACTGCCATGTTTCCTTGTGAATTGTCCAAGTCTTCTTGACTTTAATGTGTGTAATTTGTCTTTGCAAATAATCAGATTTCATAACTGATGGAAATGTAGGAAAATTGAAAATTTTTGTAATGAGCCTGCTGCAAACTTTTGCCAGAGCAAAAATTAGAGTTGTTTCTTTCCAAAAATGTCTCATAAATCACAATGAGCGTATCGACAAATTCTGAAATGCACCCATAACTTCACAATCTGTGTCAGAAATTTGCGTTTTTTTTTTAGCTTCCCGCTTGAGAAGCGATACTACGGCACAGGTGACCCCATACATACATACATTCGACCCCTATTCAATAGGATGTTTCGCAATATTCATCATTGTATTTTAAAATTGTCGTACCTAAAAACTGCAAAAACAGCCATTATACAGGTCAATAACAAATGAAAATATTTCAATAACAATAAAACAACAAATTAGCGTAACATCATGGCCAACGCTTCCGTGCGTAAGTTGAGGGGAGCACAAGGTCAATCAAGTTGGACATCTCTCAACAGTCTCCATGCGAGGAAAATGTGAATATAAACTTGCCAATTGTTATTAGGTGGCTAGTATCTCATCCCATTACACGTGTTTTGGCAGATTTGCATCGGCCATGATGAATATTAAGTAGTATCTTATTGAGCAGGAGTTAGATGGAAGGATTCCTCTCAAGAAATGTTCACCTGTGCTGTAGCATTATTTTTGAAGCGGGAAGCTCAAAAAAATGCAAATTTCTGACACAGATTATGAAGTTATGGGTGCACCTCAGAATTAGCTGATGCGCTCATTGTGATTTTTGAGGCCTTTTCTGTAAGAAACAACTCTTATTTTTGCTCTAGCAAAGGTTTGCAACAGGCCCATTAAAGTAATTGAATAGAAATAGAAAGTGGTGTAGTCTATCATAATATCAAGAGAATTTTGCTGATGCTTTATGTTGAATAAGATAATAATTTAAAAACTTTTTGCTTTAAAAATTGAAATTTATTGATTTTTGAAGTTTCTGGGTTGTGAGAACTAAGTTCTAGCTAGTGTTCAAATGATGAGTGTTAGTATAAGAGCTCAGGGTTGCTATCCACAGGAAAAAATAAGTGAACTTAAGAAATTTTAGAATAATACTGGAGTTTTGTCGCTCCTTATTATTCTGTTTTTGACGGAGGGAGAATAACAGCCACAAGAGAATTGTATTTCTAGGTCAGAAAAATCGGCAGGAATCCTTTGCAAATCAGAATTGGGAGAAGTTTGAGTCCTTCCATGTCACTATCTATTAGTACTGTTTGCAATTAGGTGTGTCTCTGTATTTTGGGATCTATAGACGCTATTAGTGCCTTGTCACAGTCGGTATCGATTGTATCGAATTGGATCCAAACAATCAACCTCATCTTTTCACCCCCCCTCCCAGAATTTCACAGTCAAAAGCCAAGAAACTTGAGTCGCATAGGTGTGGCCTAAATCGTGGTGGCTCTCACGGGAATTTTCTCCTTTCTGAAACTGCTTTATCCCATCAACTTAACAATACAGGAACATTCCATGATTAAAAAATCTGTCTCTAACATAGCTTTTTTCTCAAACTGGGCAAATTATCTCTGAAATTCTCTATATTCATGTTGAATAGTAAAGTTATGTTTGATTGTTTGGATCCAGTTTGATACAATCGATACTGATTGTGACGTTGCACTAATAGCGTGTATCCTGGTTTTACACAGGTCACTCTCGTCCCTCCGCAGCAAGATTGTACCACAGACTTTCTTTCATTCACATTCTTTTCTTAAATTATGCTTCAGGGCTGAATTATTTGCCAACATAGGAAAAATTTAGGTGAATACCATGGGAAATGGAAACTCCCTCAAGAGAGGCAACCCTGAAAAGCTACTCCTGAAGAGTAATATTCTTCATTCGTTCTCTTTTTGTTTTGAAACTAAACCCTTATGCTTGTAATTTTCAGAGCGGGCCTAGATTCGCCAAGCCTGGTAGTTTTGAATATGAGTACGGAACACGTTGGAAGAATCTGTACGAACTTTTCACACAAAAAGTAGAAACACTTAAGCGAGAGATGAAAGTGGAGGAAGAGAAACTGTCTGCTCAAATGGAATATGCACGATACGAACATGAGACAGAACTACTTAGAGAACGTGAGTTCAATTTTTTTCTCCGTCTTTTAGATGAATTGATTGATATGATTTTGCAATGCTATTGTGGCAATAGTTAAAAGGTATGCATTTTAAAATTAGAGATTGCATTTAGTTTGTCTTTTGGCAGATTCTTGAAGAAGATTTTATTTTTTACAGATGAAAAAATTGGCCATGAACTGAAGATGTTAAGTGCTCTCGAAATTTTGGAAGATTTTAAAGATAAAGGCTCAGCAAAGGACATACATTTAAATAACTTGAAAAGTTCAACTGGTGAAAATAGTTCCCTCCTTGAAGTAGGCCGGAATTTTACATTTCGGCGAAGGCAGCATGACATTGCCTGAAGACAAAAGCTGCTGATCTTAAATTTTCAAATTTCTGGCATGAATTGGATGCTGTCATTTTAATCTTTGAACATCAATCTCTACAACTATCAGTGATTTGACTAAGTAATTTCTTAAATCGTCGTTGCTGCTTTTATTGGCTATTTTTCTGAAGTCTGTAGTCTTTTAAGGAATCTATCAAGATAACAGAGGTTTTCCTCTTCTTTGATATGTTCGTGTCGTTCTTATCATCTTCTTTTTTTTCTTTTTTTTTTGGTGTGTGTGTGTGGTGTGTCGTACCAGGTGGTTTTAAAATTTCCAAGGAAACACCCAGATCTGTAGAAACATTTTGCCTAACAACAAAACTGCAAAAGAAAAATTTGGAAGAAATTAAGAAGAGCTTAGTGAAACTAGAAAAATGATCGAATGACACATTTCCTGTGTTGTTTTGCTGCTTTACCATGAAACAAACCGTTACTAGGTTGTGCCGGTTCTATTTACTCAGAATACATTAGGATGGGTAAGAAGAGGAAACGACCAGCTAAAACTAATCCACCTCTTAATTTGAATTTCGGTGCGACAGCCGGAACCGCTCGGACGCACTACTTCGGAAGGTTGTCTTGGATTTAGACCTTTTTTCTTCAAGGCCAGGGCACGCTTGATAAACCTGTGCATAATATTCCATTTTTCTTTTGTCTCGAGCATTTGTCATACTACATATTCTCGGCAAAATGGAGCATCGAGGATGCTCTCAACTTGCAGTCTCTCCGCTGTAAATCTTGGTGTGTTCTGGCGAGTCGATCACTACGTTCCTACAATGAGGATAGTAAGGGTCTTGTCTAATTTTGAAGCCGTGTAAATAAGATCCAAAAACGCCGTGACTAGTGAAAAATTGAGTCAGATAAAAGTGAACTTGCCCATGTCTTCGATACAGCCTCTCTGGCAAATCTCTGATTAGAGTTTTGAACCAAACACTTCCATTTTCCGCATTCCAAGTATCAACCCATTTGCTGCAGGTATCAGCTCTGATTTCAAGAGGATCCGCCTCTCTCTTGAAACGCCTAAGTTTTTCTTCAATCAGGAAGGTCATATCTTGTGAGATTATGCGTTATTTATTGCGGTTTGCCTCCTTCATCTCAAACTTTTCTTTATGCCTTGCAGAATTGCGTCAGCGGGAAGAAGACCGAGAAAGACAGAAAATGACTTGGGAAATGAAATCGAGGCAGGTCGATGAGCTGAGATTGCGTGAGGAAGAATTGTCGATGAGAATGCTGACACCGGAGGATGAAATGCGGATGAGATCATTGGAAGCCCCAGGCTACCCTCAGGTAAAAACAACCTTGTCAACTCAGTCGTTACTGCATCAGAGAATACTAAACTGTTTAAAATTCTGACTTTGGGTCGTCCTAAACTAATCATCCTCAGAAAGTAGTAATTTGGACCATTTAATGAAGGAAATCAGTTTCTTTTTTTTTGTTCCTTTTTTTCGATCAAAATTAAAATCAATTTAACTAAGACTTTTTTAAATTGAGCACTTAGCCCTAACAAAAGTCTGACCAGGTTCTAACCCATTGACCCTGAAGAGTCCAATCTAAATGTCTTCAACTCCTGTAATCCCAGTTCGCGGGGTCTACCCCATCTTTTAAGATTCCTAACCCTTTTGGATTCATAATCTTTCGATACAAACAATGACCCTTTTGATGGTACGCAGATGAGCAGAGATTTTATTTTTTCATGAGAGTGAAAACGTCAAGAAACCACCGTTGGGTTGTTTTAATACTGACCAGCTGAATTTGTCCTTTCGTTTTCAGGATCAGAAGCCATTCGTTGAAGCTTTCGATAGTCCGAGAGGATTCCCACCAGGCAACCGATTTGACGCAGCCGACGGTCCTGTTCCGAGAGGAGGCGGACCCAGAGGCGAAGGCGGCAGGGGTGGTGGCGGCCGTTGGGCCCCAGCAGATCGTCGAGGGCCTGGGCCTGGTGGACCTGGTCCGGATGATTTCCAAAACAAGCGACGCCGATACTAGAGCATGCGAGATCTTCAAATTCCCCCCCACATATTCTCCATGTACAGTATTATGCTATAGGATCTTTCATCTAATTTGTACGCCTAGCATGTCTCAGTCAAAGTCATCGAATTTTGCTTGAGTTGGGTATTGATGTATAGTTGGTTCTAGTTAACAAATAGTGCTCATTCTTAAGATTTCAATACCCAGGCGTTCCTTCCGCTGCAAATTTAATCAACATTGCCGAAAGGAAACAAATCAGGGTGTCTGCAGAAGCGAAGAAAAATAGGGGGATAAATTTTATTCTAGGCCTGCATAAACTTGGCCAAAAAAATCTGGAATTTTTCCTTGTCGTTTGAGTTTTCTTTGTTTTTCGAGTTTTGATGACTGCAGGAACAAAATGTTCAAAAATAGAATCTTGATGCAGAAAAAAAAAACTCTTCCGCCAATTTAAATTATGTCCAGAACCTCTCCCTTTTTGTTTTTGAGCGTTGGCATCTTTACTGATTGTAAAAACAAAGGATTTTTTTTGTCATTGTGGTGCGGAAAAGTCAAACCAATTTAGTTTCAGAATCTACAGACACCTTTTGAACATTAAGTAAGTTTTAGCAGCTTTATTACCTCATACTGGGTTATTAATTCACTCTGTCAAGTTTTTGAATCATTTTTACAATCTTAAACTCAACATATTACATATAAATTTATTGATACATCTCCTATTCTCAGGGGTCTGAATTTGCTTTATATCGTGTTTAAGTTGATTAATTAGAAAGTGGTTTTAAAATATGATATCCAAAAACGAACCAGAACCAAGGACAATTTTTACATATTTTACACTCAGAAATTTTTAAGAATTCCATATTTTTTCTCCCTTTCTCTATATCTTAATCATTCAAATTGAACGTGTTCTCAAATTATTTCTTATTTCCCTTTTAAGTGCTAAAAGAGTTTTTAATGTACAGTTCTTTTGGTTGCCAGATTATAAACTTTGACTCATTTTTCGCAGAGAAAAAAGTATTGAATTCTTTTTTTTTCTCTTTTTTTTACTTATATCGTCAGAGATACTTTGAGCCGGACTCAATTTCGTGTTGCTTGTGGCAATTCGAAGGGAGAATAAAATTGTCAGGAATGGATTCCGGGTGTTCCTTTAAATCCCAGCAACATACTTAATCAGTGTTAATGCCATAATCGAGCTGTAAGACGATAATTTAGTTGACGGCTCCTCATTGTTTCCATTTAATTTATTTTTTCTTCTTCGTGCTCTGTAACCAATTACAGATTTTTTTTTTACTAGACATAACTTATTTCATTTTCTCACTCTCTTACCTTCTTTTTTTATATTATCCTTCCATTAATCTTCGCTGTGAATGTGTTTATATTTATTGGAATTTATCACTGGAAGTTAAGTCACTCGAGACAGTATCTTTTGTACAAAGTCTAGTTCAGTAAGGTCAGGTTTGATTCTATTCAATTTGGAAGTCTGCGATAAAAAGATAAAAAGTTTTTTGAGTAGAACAGAATTTTCTTATTTGTTTTCCTCCTGTCACAACTAGTTAGGAAACAGTATCCTTAAACAGCGAACATTTCCTCGAATTTTTTTATTGACGGAAAAAGTTGAGCAACTCATTGTAGCTCTCTTTGAAAATTACTGACAAGGGAGTGTGTACAATTATTATTGAGAATTGTTTGAATATAGAGTTTGGTTTTTCCGTTTGTGACGGAGTAATTTCAGATGATATGCCCTAGGTCTGATCAAGTGATTTAGCTTTAAACTCCCACCAGTAAATAGACGAAGGCATTACTTGGTCTTTACGATTTTTAGTGTAATGTTCTTTTTGACGTCGTATACATTTCTAAGTTATTTTATCCAATCAATGTATATTATCAAATGCCTATCTAAGCATAATCAGACCTCAAAGCAAGTTAGAGTAATGCACCTTCACACTAAGACTCAGAACAAACTTACAACTAACTGCCAAGTAGGTAGACCTGGGATTCCATAGCAATTTTTGGGGAGTGTTCGCTGCTTAACATCAGAAACTCTGATAATTGCCAGAGTTTACGCCCGAGTGAAATGTGCATTTTTGGTTGTTATCATTCTTACTAAATTAGAAAGTAAAGTTAATTTTTATCGATAATATAATCTGCGACCTACTTTTATTAGAAGGTATCAAAGCGAGAATCGCAAAATGGTAAAACATCATAGCCTCAAGATACCTCATTTTAGCAGATTTACTTGCGGCATGATAATTGAAGAATATCAATCATAGGAATCATCTTGAAGGAAGACAGAAAGAAGAAAAAGCCTACAGTCTTGTAGATTTGCATTCCCTTTCATACTCTAATTACTGAGCTGTCAGTTATTGTGGAAAGTTTGGAGGCGTATTTGTCTCATCAAATGAATAACTCCAACTAAAAATTCAGATTCAATTACTATCTAGGACAAGTTAGCAGAATTGATCATTTCCTGAGGTAGAAAATCAAAGGGACGGCTTATTCTGGTGCAAGGAACCAGGCCTAATCCTTGATTCAAGGGGAGCGTTAATACTCAAGAAGCTCTTTAGAGCTGTTAAATGTGAAAGAAAACAGTGATTACTTAGATGCTTGACATCAGATGTGTGGTTCGTGAGTCAACTTAGTTCCATAGAAGATATCAGCATTTCTTAATGCGTCCTTAGGCATTCACAATAGACAATTTTTTCTATTAAATTTTTCTTAAAATCATCTTTTATATTTTTGCATAGTTTCCTGAACATGTATTTTCTTCTTCTGAATGAATTGTTCAATTCTGTTGAAGAAATAAATTTTTCATTTAAATAATTCCTGTTGATTTCTGTTTTATTATCAGTATGACCTCAGATTGTTGTGTTCTCTCGCTGAAATGCGTGGAGGATTAACTTTTTTAATCAATGGAAGTGTCATTCAACTCAGCATCCTATGGCCCAGCCCTGCTATTGTGATGGAACTCTTGCATGCTATAGGGATTTGCGATTTTTTGTACTTCTTCATATTAAATACTATTTAAGAAACATGATGGTATCACTAATTTTCTCTTGTATGATAGCCTAAGCTCCAAATTGCTCTTAAAAACCTGATGGTGCCTCTAATTTTCTCTGACATAAACTCCTCGGCTCCAAAAAAGCTCACTAAGTTGAGGCTGCGTCATGGAAGGTAACTCTGGGGTTTTGAGAAAGTTAACCCTTGTATTCATTCAATTAAAATATCCTTATACAGCTCCAGAGTGAATTCATTAGCAGGATTGCCGCTTTGTGCAAGGGCACCCAAAGGTCAAACCAGTCAATTTTTGGCTGCAGCTAGGCAACCCTGCTCATTTTCTCGCTCTCTATCGATGCATGGAGTCGAATATTAAGAGGATGGCTCTCTCGCAAGGCCAGAACTTCCTCCAAGACAGCATCAACTTTGAGCTTCTGCGAGTCTAAAAGTTTGTGTTAATAGAAACCAGTGGCACTATCACGTTTTTTGAAAATTTTACCGAAACAAATATAAGAAATCGCAATTCTACATAGCATGGAAGAGAGCTTCTTTAAGCGAGGTACAATCCATAGAGATAGTCCATTACGCACATGTGTTCATTTTAAGGTCAATTCATGTCAAACAGAGGTACCCTACAATTTTTTGTCCAAGCAGGCAGTAATGAGATAAACATTTCACTTATTTTGGCATTTATTTACAAATGAAAATTTCATCGTTTGATACAAAAATCATGGATCCTGATAAACATAATTGGTAAAAAAGGGAACAATTTATGACCTTCCTTAAGGAATAAATACAAAAAAAATTTTCTTATGTACAAAAAATAATTTAATACTTCCTGATAGTTTCGTACTAGTTGAGCATATGTGATTTAAAAACATTGGAAGTTAAATGGAGAGTAGATCTCTAAAATATTCGCAGAGTAAAATATGGCTTTACTCTGAGCAACAAAGAAAAATCATCTTATAAGTAGGTCACAGTTGCATCAGTAGCTAAAAATTACCGCAGCATTACCGAGGACCAAGTTTTTACAGCAGATTTTTATGAAAAAGAAAGAGGGAAATTTGCACTGAAATTTTTTTCACATTTGTAATGGAGAGAGGTGTTTTACAAAGAGAGAAGAATAGGAAAAGAGCATGGAACAATTATTGGAAAATTAGACTAATACAGGCTGTAAATTTTATGGAAGAAAACACTTAAAGGAGAGAAGTTGGTAATCCTCTTCCTGGCTTACAAAAATGCATGTTTTAAAAATTGTACATAGTGCTAGAGCGTTGAGGAATATCGAGTATTAATTCTGGATGATTGTGTATCTAAAGTAGACACACGCTGCTGTTTGTCATGCTGACACAAATATTGCATAAAGTGAACACAAAAACAATTCTTTAAAATTCTTGAAGATATTAAAGTCACTTCTGAGCTCGATTTGCAATGCATGGTAAATTCTGAGGATAGAATCCTAAAAGGAACTACCATTTTGTTTGCTATCGATTGGGCTGAAATCGAGATGAATTTTGGAACATTCCTAAAAGTTTCACCATCAATATGAATTGCCAAGTCGAATATAGTTTTCATGTTTGTTCTTATAGAGTCTTGACTTGGTATTTTTGTATAAACTTGTACTTTATTTCTCAAAAAAATACAAAATTACTCCTGATTCCAGCAATTTATTGATCGATAGAAAGTGAATGGGTACGCTTACCAGAAAGTCGAAGTGTGGTTCAGGAGGGTGAAAATGGGGGCTGAAATTGGTCTGAAAATCTTCTCAGGGGCAGACAAACCTCATTTTTGGGATCTGAGAGTTTTTCATATCTACTGATTTTTGAACTTCTAGTTTTTGACATATGAGAAGAAATACCTTCAGAGTGATGTAACTTACTGATGATATGTCACCTCTCTGAGGTGGAAAATGGAAAACTGTTGAGGGATATTCCAACCCTTGCCGAAAGGGGTGTGCAAGCAAACCCTTGTCTGTGAACTATCACTACATCTGTTTCTAAATACAACTTAACTTTCTTTTAGGGGTTTCTATCAGAAATAGTTGGCTACCTAAATTTAGCTCTAAGAACTTTGATAGCAATCAGTGAGGGTCTTTTCATCATAACTGCTTCCTGACAAGGGCCACTTAAACAGCTTACCAAAACTAATAAAGACACCTCTACAGCTGATTGATCTTTTTTAAGAAATCAATAAAATGCTTCAAGACAAAATAGAGGCACGAGTTGGAAAATTTAGGACTCGCCTTTTTACTGAAAGTGAAAAAAATTGAATTTTTTTTCTCCCTGATTTTTTAGGTTATGCTTAGATCACACTATTTCTTGAACAATATTATGGAATCACTTTTCTAAGCTTCAGTCAGTCAGGAGACAAAATCAGGTCTAAATGAGAATGAGGATACAAGATTACATTGGTTTTTGCTTTCAATCAAAAGGAAAGAGATAACAATCAAAGAAATCCTAGAAATTAGCTGTGCATCTTCAAATAAACGGACAAATTAGGGCACATAAATGTTTGCAACATCAAATTAATATCCTAAGTGGTAACATTGTTAGAGATTTCGGTAACATTAATTCATGGCTTTACACCCAGCAACATCTAGATAATTTGTCTCTATCTTGATGCACATTTACATGCATTTTATCATATTTAAAGTATGAAGACTGCCAAATTAATATGCAGCAAAACGACTTTTATACCATAAAAAATAGCGCTCTGTTGTACACTATGAAGTTCTCCAGAGGTATTTCCATGAAAAGCAACAATAAAAGATGCAAGGTACATACACAGCATATGTGTGTGCATATGTATGTTTGACTCTCCAGGGGAAAGGAGACCTAAGTGTAATGGAAAGAAAGTTTTAGGAGGGCAGAGTTTCCAACAGAATCTGCTCTGCATGATCTACGCAAAAATAAATTGCATCTCTTTAGTTCACTTCTAAGTCAAATGAGAAGGTAAAATTGCATCTTCATCCAACCATCTTGCTTTCTAAGCACGGCAGATTAAGTCAAATAAGAAGGTAAAATTGCATCTCAATCTAACCATCTTGCTTTCTGAGTACGGTAGATTGTAACTTTTGATAGCTTTTCAACACCATGTTTTTCAACAGCTGTCTTGAAGCTGTCACTATTCTTTTATGGTTTACAATTTTTATGCGGTTCTTGTAGTAAAATGTTTGAAAAACGCTTTGCTTGGTGCAGAACCACTGAATTTGAGTTTCTTGGCACTAAAACCCTTCTTCCCATGGATGAATGGTCACATTATTCACGATGTAAAAAACTACAAGACTAGGCACTTACATGTATACGAAACATAATCTTGGAATAAGTTCTGAATCATGATACAAATGGCCCTCAAACTGGGCCAGTTGCACTGGTAACAGAATCGTGTTTTGATGCTTGATTCTTGTAGATTAGCTAAAAATAAGAAGATCTGTCCAATCAGCAACTTTCTACATTGAATATTAACTGAGATATCGTCCTTTGAAAATCCGGGTTTTAGACATTATCCACCGTGGTAGTGCATAACATGGTATTAACTACCGCAGTGGATGACGTCATAAATTGAGTTTTTCAAAGCCCAATATCTCAGTTAATATTCAACGTAAAAAGTTGCTGTTTGGACGGATCTTATTATTTTTAGTTGATATGCAAGAATAAAGCATCAAAACACGATTCTGTGACCAGCGCAACTGACCCATTCAGAAATCTCTAGTTTTGCAAAGTAATTTCTATTGATCAGTAAATCCTACAAGAATAAGTTCAAATAAGAAGATAACAAAACATTCAATTCTGAAACTCATAAAATATTCACAGATACCATACCTAGACTCAGAAGCTTTTTTCCTATATAATGAAATCTAACAGTTATAAAAATCCAGATTCCTTGTTGTGGAGCCACATTTCGGTGACTGCATATTGAATTTACTTTGAGACCACAACCTACTGTTTATCTAACATTATTGACAGACTTAAAACTAAATTTTTCCTCATATTATTGTGATTAATTGGAATACTTTCATAAACCTTCATGGTTGAATTTAAGGCAACTTAGTATCGAAGTATCAAATATAAAATAATGAATTTGAGGACAAACGTTCTCATAGGCATTGTGCATACACAGTCATTTCAAAATAATTTATTTCATCCCTGATCAGGCTGTGTTAAAGATACAAACAATATTCACTTATAAACTTTAAAATACTAATCAACCAAAATGTATAATTATTAATCCGACAGAATTTAGCAATTATTATAAAACAGCTCGTGGGTTAAGAATATCTCAAAGCTATTTCTAAACTTTCGTGGCGGAGGAAATTAATGAAAGGAAATCAAACTTTTCAAAAGTTGAGTCTTAGAACTTTCAAAGCGGACGTACAGAGTTAATAGTCTGGTCTTGACATGTTCTCCTGAATTAGGTTAAATGTAGGTAGAATAGGTAAAAACTTTGTCATACCATCACACAGTAATATTTAGAATATTTAGTTATGAATTATTAATTAATTCAGGGCCTGTAAATAAAGTGCGTAACAATTTAAAGAGAGAGTGAGGGGTCTGAGCCTGCTTGATGAAACATTAGAGTAGGGACAAAGAACAAATTTTTCCAAAATTTATGAAACATCGCTGTAAGTTGGTAAATTTAAAGCAGTAAGTTAGGAAAAAGGGGTGTCAAATGAAGCGTTACTTATTTTTGGTTCGGGGGTGTAAAACTGTGTTGCGGGTGCTAGTGTAGGAAAAAAAATCGGATTTTCAGCGTTTCGTATTTTATGAATAGCCCCTTCGCCAGATCTTTGATTTATCAATCCATTAGTTCAACTTGGTACTCCTTACTTTCAACCAAACAAGATCAGACTAAAAAATTAGGAAACATTTAAAATAAAAAATTGGCCAGATTCATGAGTGCCTACAGGAAGAGGGACCTTTATCCACAAACACTCACGATTTAGTTGTCGATACCACAACATAACAGTGTGCTACCAATGTGAGGAAACATGTGTCTAATTAAACCAGAGTTGTAGCTCCTTGAAGTTTTCAGGCCAAAAACAAAGTTTTGGAAAAAAAACTATGTATTTACAATTCAGATCTGTTGTGATTAGGGTGAGAAATTCCAAAGATCGGCATCTCAAACGAAGTGTTCAACCCATATCAATAAAAGTACTCAGTTGAAAATTTTGCTTCCATAGACGATGATCTTTTTTTCCCTAGATAGCCAGATTTCATGCTCATCAAATTGGGAGCCTGAGTTGTTGAGAACATGAAAGGAGTGTGAATTCTAAACTAAGCTTCAATGATGAGATCAAAAAGAGCAAACCGTGTTCTGCTTTTCCTCTTAAATATTAGGAGCCACTTTGGCCCACAAGTTCAAATAGTATAAGCCATTTACAATTATTTATGAGCACAGGTAACTTATACGCGTCACGCTACTGCTGCATTGCAAGTTTAAAAAATTGTCAACTTTCTCAGGCACAAGGATAGCCCCCCCCCCCCCCTATTTATATGCACCGAAGTTTGATTTTGAGGCGCATGGCACTCAGGGAGGGAGGAACACTGAGTACAAATGAATCGGTACCAATTTGAGAAACTAATTTTTGCACCACAAATAAAGATGAAAAGAGATCGGGGATATTTTATGGATTTACAAAGTTGAAAAAGCCTTGTCATAAAAGAATACGCTGTCTCAATATTGTCAGAATCCACTTTCTAGACGAAGCTGAGGTTAAAAAACTCTCTTCGAAGAACGAAATTTTCCCTTCCAACTTGACTGATATCTGCACTTCAAAACTTTTATGAAGCTACAGTAGAGACACGGCTTCTTACAGACTCATCCTATACTTTTACATCTCTCTCACTGCAACCTTAGAAGTAATAACCCTTGCTGGTAAAGACACAACTCTGCTTTCATTTGTGAACTGTAGATATGCCCTTGAGCGACAAAATGACTCTGTGAAAACTTGAAAAGACCAGTTTCATTGGAACAGACATTCACTGTATCTTCTTCTCATAATTACTTATAATTGTTACTTGTTAATGTTTCAAAGCAGAGTAATGAAAAATGACAATATGTAGGTAACTGTCAGGGGGAAAACGGGCCTCAAAACGCAACTCAAATTCGAGTTACGGATACAAGAGCATACAGGAATGTTTTACAGACCTTTTAGGACAAAAAAGTCAAATCAAACTGGGCTTACGGTGGTGTTACATTTGCAACTCACAAAGGTAGCTTACAGAAAAAGCTGTAATAAATTCTAATCTATTATGCTCAAGGCGCAAAATTATCAAATGCGATTCTAAGTTTCCCTCGACACTAAAATGAACAACTTAACGTGTTTGGGTTGCATTTTAAGTGCCGATTTTACAAGTCCAAATTGGCCTGCATCTTATCTCAGCATGCATTCTGCAAGCAAATACATATGATTAACCGCTCTAAACTTATTTTTCAGGACACTCAGGTGCTTAGTCTGTCGTGTACTTAAAATCCAATTTTTCGACCTAACATCAAAAGTCACTGCTGCAAACACTTCCAGGAACCAAGGTCGTTTTTACCCTAGACATTCAAAAATAAGTCCTCATACAATTGCTTACAGAAGACAAAAAATTAATAAAAAAAATAAAAAATGATGGTTTTTTGTGCAAACAATTCTGATAACCAAAAAAAAAAATCTTAGAAAAAAGTATATAATTTATGCTATCATGATCAGTCCAAAAAGAATAATTTTTTAAGGCTTGTTGTATCACTCAGGGGGCAACATTCTAGAATTGAGGATAACATTGAGTCGGAATGCAATGTCTGTTCCTTCCATCACTCTCTTTTGGAAGTATTTACAGGGGCTAATGAGAGTTTAAAATTTTGGATAAGATTTCACCAACAAACTGGTTTTTTCTTGAAATAACACAAAGCGCTAACATATTTAGGTGTTACTGATGATTGAGTGATTTTGCCTGCGGTATTAAAACGCATTTCAGAAAGAAGAATTTTGCAATCCAAATCAAAATTTTGTTAGAATATTTTGGAAAATTAATTTTCTTCCCCTGATTAAATTTAACATTAAGGATGACAAAATCACAACATCCTGAGAAATGGGTCGCCTTTGGAAAAGCTAAGAAAGTTAGAAAAAAGCTTTAGTATTCTTCTTAAAATTTTGAAGATTTGCCTAAAAATTTGGAATTTTTTGGTAATTTACAGTCGTTGGGTAGGGTTGTTGACAGCTTTTGAAAACCCAGAATCAAGGGTTTTGGAAGAAATTTTTAGGGATACTCTGAGACTGATGAAGAAATTCTCTGGCATTCAAAAGGGCTAATGGTCAACTGGTCTAATCTCATGGATTATATTTTTTCTTCCTATACCTTTCTTTTCTGCTACATCTATGTTCAAAACGGGGCAACATAAGATGTGCAGACAATGCTGTTTGATACTTCAGCAGTCTCCGTTACAAACGCGGAAAAAGAATGATCTCTAGAATAGTAAGAAACAAACAATTCAGTGACTTCAAAGTGTCTCCATTATAATTTCCTAGTATTCGAGGTTCCTCACGAATTTTGGCATCATGAACCCTACCTCTTTAACTTCGCAACGAGGAAAAACTTGGAAGTTTTTTTACAGGACCTCAGAGACATTTGAAACGAAAAATTCCCTGTGTTCCTAAATCGATTCAATTGAATCTCTCAATTCGAAGAGGATCCAACTCGGAATTTTTACAATGTTCATTTTTTGCGTAGAAGCACTATATTTGTGGCTGTTACTCAGTTTTTATCCTGACAACATTTTCTTGAGATAGGTCTCTGTCGAACTAAGAGATTCAATTTTAGAAAAAACCTGCATAATTCCTGAGGATACTTCTTTTTTGAGAAGGACACTGTCTTATTTAAAGCAGAGCTTGTCCTTTTCGCTAATTCCTTATCAATAAAAGGCTCCTAAATGACGTATCTCGTTTACGATGTTTAAAAATCTCCCCTTCCATATTAATTCTGTGAAGAAGAACAAATCAACGCCATTTCTTGAACTTTTATCAGACGTTTTCTTCTTCAGCAGAGAAAAATCAAAGAAAGAAGTGACAATGAATAGTTCTTCATTTGAAAAATGAAGTGTGACAGGAGGTCTGCTACATCGCAAACCAAGACACGTGGTTTGGGAGTTTCACCATAGTTATGCTTCATCCCTTTCTCAAGTCACCGACCAAAATACCGACAAATTCGCTTTTCATTGGGTGAACTTGGAACTTCCGTGGTACTTTCCCCAGTTCCCTTAACCAATTCTGTATTCTGTTACCTCCTGAGTATTTCCTCAGCTTTTAGAAATTATTGCAGAAAACATCTGATTCAGAGCCAGTTAGAGGCAGTGTTGCCAAATATATGGGACGAACACAGAAATTTGTATTTCCCACACATCTGTAACAAGACCGAACCTGATTCACATATGGTGCAGAAATCCTATCCGCCTAGCAACGCTGATTACAAGCTAGGTCTCATTTCCAGGGAATAACTTGCTACATTTGTTTAGGCAAGATGGTAATTTAAAAATAATTCATAAAATAAAGTAAACTGATATTTTTATCACCTGAGAGAGGATTTTTCTGCACAGTCCTCACTCAGATAATACCGAAGATTCTGAACAACGCATCCAGGCAAATGAGTAATTTACAAATTTACAGGTTTTTCAAATTTATCAATAACCGAGAGAAGTAAAGGATGTATTCCTAACCTATTTTTAACAGACGTAATGACCTCTAAATGAGAGAGTCTTCCAGTAATAAAAATCAGGAGAAGGGTCAATAACACAGAAAACTGCTCGGGTAAATTCTGAGGAGATCATTCACCAGCTCAGCAAACCCGTGGAATTCCGTCTCATTGCAAACTTAATATCTGAATCACTGGCTTGCTGAAGAATCACCTAGAAAAAAAAATAACCATACAGTTAGTGAAACAAGTTTGATTCGTCAGCATAAGAAATCAGACCAAAGAAGAATGAACCACTGCAGCGTTAGCAACAAGCTAATTTTCTCATTTACTAGCTGATTTTGGAAACCTTCAATATTTTAAAAGTGTTTTGCAAGAATTTTTGATGAGGAAATGTTTATCATGATGCTTCAATTTCTGCCCTGTATAAGGATCCAATTTGATGGACTTTGATTCCTGATTTCCAAATTTTCCTGATTCCTTTTGGATGGTCAGATTCTGAAGAAAGGCCACATTTGCCTTATAAAAGTCGTTAAATTGGATAAAAAATCAGGACAATTTTGGATCCAAATAAGATTTAGCCTTTGCTGCATCCTCTAAGACTACGCTTAGCACTCCGCTAATACACAAATAACAATATCTTGCCATACACTGTTTAATGGAGCTTAAAAGAGGTTATCCTCTGATTACACACAGGTTTATTGAAATAATTCCAGAAAAGTTTGCATATGAGGACTTATATGTAACAATAGCGGTCTCTGACATCTACCATTTTTAGGGAAAACAATTTTTTCAGATTCTGGAGCCCTCAAGAATACCTGTGCAAAGTTTCAGACTTCCAGCGCAATTTTTCAGCGAGATATGAACTGAAATCCATGTTATTAGTAAAAACAGAAGATATGAGAATCCTTTGTTCTCCCCAGCCGGCGCGGAAGGACACTGTGGAAATTCGAAAGCACTTGCGATAACTGCTCACGCATCAGCCATGGGCTGCAGCTAACACTCAAATTATACGTATCGGGTCCGTCTCGCCAGAATTGTTGATTTTTTAACTGATTTTATATTTTGTTCCTCATTTTTGTTGTGGCAGTTACAAAAGGTTTAGTTTTTTGTTCAATTCGATAAAATGACTCAGCATTGACATACTTTTGGTTCACTTCATTCGTTTCACCAGCCTTAATCTTCCTGAAGACTTTGTTTCATGCATAAAAAAATGTTCTCAGTAAAAAAAGCGGATGTCACATTTTTTTTCAAATTGCTGTTACTCCTTCCACTTTTCACTTACATAAATTGTAAAACGGAAGAGTAAAACGGAAGAGTAAAACGAATTGTAAAACTTCCTTTTACAGGAAGAGTTGCTCTTCATGAAAAGCTTCATAAGAATCCTCTAGGTTCTACAAGCGACAAAGTGCAAAACTTCGAAAACTTCGAACACTATTTTCTCACAATGTGAAAACTTGACATCCGCTATTGTACATATAAGCCCTCATATCTGGATAAAGTGTTGTGGTTGATGATTTTTCGAGTCTAAAAATAAGTGATGAAAACATTAATTAATTTTCAAAAAGAAGGACATAAATAACTATAAACATACATTTAACTCATTTTGACTTTGCTTTTGCTTTGACTGGAATATCAAATAGATCACACAATCCTTCCGATTCTAGCAAATTGAAATAATAATCTTTATCTCCAGGGGGAGGACTAAATCGCACGAGAGAACCCAAGCCTGCAACAAAGAAAAGAAAACATAAATTAAAACTGCGCCCATATATAATAAAATTCCCTTAAAAATAAGCTGACAAAAAAACTACAGCGTGAGGAAAAACAAGGAGCTCATTGCAGCACCTTAGTATATTGTATCGGTGGAATCTTCGTAATTTTAGAATTTTTGCATTCTAATCCAGCATTTCTATGCCATGAGCATGGTGGATTAGTACTTCAAACACATTTTCTCCAAACTCCATACTTCCATCTGCGACAACTCTGATTTAATTTGACATTTTTGGTCCAACATTTTCATAGAACACTCCTTTGTCAGGTACTCAATTTGAAGTCTTTAAGACATAATGTTCCTTTTCTTCAGACAGTAACGTGTCGGGGTGTCTACTGAAATTTCGTTATGGATTTCCCTGATACTTCACAAGAAATTTCCTGATATCTGGCATTAATTAATTGACACTCGTTTGATTTTACGAACAAACATATTTAATGAAGGGAATCAAATGTTTCACTTTTGCAGGTTCTATACGGCATGTAGTTAAAAAACGCCTAACGCACTCAAAATTTCCTGACCAATGACCGATTTTCCTCATATTGTCCTGGCTTTTCCTGATAAAATCAAACTTCCTGATATTCTCCAGTTCCTACTGACAATACACACTCTAAATGTTTTTTAATCAGAAATCAGAGAGACAAATGGTTTCACGAATTTGAGCTTTTTCCTAAGGACCGTCAAAATGTAAAAAATTGAAAACTTACACTTTCCTACCTTCACATCTTAAAATTTACCAAACCAGACAACCATTTGAGTGTTCAAACTGAAAGACGGAATACTTACAGGAATCTACAGCAGAATCTGAGGTTTCATCAGGCAAGTTGGAATCCAGTTTCATTTTTTTGCTGGAACTACTCCTATCCTTGTTCTGAGCATCCTGTAAAGAAGTAAAACCGATGAAGATGAAACTCATACCGACACATTTTCAAGATGATTCCTTGAATTTTCAAAGTGCCTTGAACTTAAAAATCAAGTGAAATGTGAGACACAGAATTTGATATTTTCTTGCTTTTGAGGATTCATTTACTGGCACTTCAGTTGATTGAAAAAATAGTGCTTCACTTGACAATTCTATATCATATTAGACATTGTCAGCATTGCGTGACTGCAGTCTTTTAGAGCAAGACTGTAGCTCTAAGAGCACTTTTCATACAATAGAGGGAGAAAACAAAAACAAAAATGACTGATGAAAAAAATGAAATGAAAAACCAAAATATACCTCTCAATGGCATTATATGGGCATAACATTGATAGACCTTTACGAGGCAAAGCAGCCAAATCATTGAGCAGAAAAATCTACAAACCTTGCTGGATTCTGGAGATTCTGTGTGATGTACAGTTGTGGCTTCCTCAAGTCCTTCACTAACGAGCAAAACGTTGATTGGTTCGCCAGTTGAAGACTTTAAATGGATTTGATGTTCTTTCTTTCCGTCTGCTCCTTTCTGAAAAACAAAATCATGACCCTCTTCGAAACGCATTCACTTTGGTAAATCACCTGTTTTTCACTACCTGGCATTATCACCAATCTATTGCTTTAGAATTTTTGACTATTCTTCTATTTATCGCTTATCTGTACATGGAAAAGCGAGGTAAGATCACAGAAATAAAGCCTGGGTTGAGAGACGTCTTGCATCGACTAGACCAAGCGCTTACAGCTATTTTGAGTCAACAGATATTTTAGGGTGAATTCACACTTCTCTAACAAAAAATTGTAAAGATGGACTTGGAATAAGGGTCTCTTAATACAGCAAACTGGGCTGATACAAGTTTAAAAAAAAGAAAAAAATCAACAGATTTTACAAAATTCCGAATACAACTTTCTACATTTTCAATTTGCAAAACTACTTATTATGAGGGAATCTGCAGACACCGGTGAGGAAGACTTTTACAAACCCTACGAATTTTTGATGATTCTTCATATTACTATCAGGGGCGCAGAATTTTCCAAGCTTCCACATTATTTTCCATCAGTTTTCCACAAAATTTCCCGCCAATTTAAAAAAAGATGACCTTTTTTTTTTGTTTTTTGTTGACTTTCGACTGATGACTCTTCAAGTTTCTCTCCGTCTACATTTTAGGGGTTTTTCCACATTTTCACTCACCCTCCCCTCCCGCCCGTAGTCGGACATTTTCTCCACCCCTGATTACTGTTCTCAAAGTGTTTGAATTTGGCAGAAAACAAGCCACCACAGTTTATTTTGATCCACAATTGCCATATCTCTGTACTTTCTTTAACTCTTGAAAATCTCATCGACTTCTTTTTTTCCAAAGCCAGAAGCATTAATTTCTGCTTGCTTATTGTATTATCTGAGAGACAATGGTAACAATAAAAATATTCCTGTGGCTTTCACCACTTCTGCGGCTGCAAATAATTTTAGAATGACAAGTTACTATTACCTGTTGGGCAGTTGGTACCTCAAGAGAGGTACCGTTGGGAGCTTGAATGGCAAGTAAGGTACCATCATCAAAAGTTTGGCAAACATCTTCTTGACAGACATATGCAAGTCTGCTGTTGACTTCATCTTCCGTAACGTTTTTTATACTCTGCTGCACCCACTGCAATAAACAAATAATGATAGTAATGACTTGATGATTGAGATAAAAATTAGAGCTTGTAAGGATTTATCATTTTTTAAGAAGTGCTTTTCGGGATTAAAATGGTACAAGATAGTGAAACAAAAGGGAAAAAACCTCCATGACTAAGGGAATTAAAGTGTTAATAACAGCAGGTCACCAGAGACAAAGAAGCTCTGAATTACGGCAAATTCTCTGATAACTAGCAGGGCTACCAGAGTGTCCTATTTCTTAATTTCTTTCACTGTTGAACACAAGAGATATACCCAAGTCACCTGGCTACATAGTGATTATTTATTTATACATTTGTAATCTTTTCAATGTTTTTAAATTTATATTTTTTGATACGTTCAAATTTGGAAAAAGTCTGTAAAAATTGCAGAGATATCAGCACATGAAATGAAACAATCAAGTTTACATTTCTTGTAAAATTTTCTATTGGGAATGCAAAAAATAGCTTTACCTGCATGTGTTTGTCTACATTTTCTTCCAAATTTTCGAGCAAAGTGAGTTCTTGTTTTAACCTCTTTAGCCTTTCTTGAGTGTCACCTGTGCTACATCCTGGCGCTGATCCTCTGTTAACAAGGAAACAACAATCGATGAGATGTTATAACAACACTTGTGAAAAAATTGAATAACTTTTAAGTAAAATAGTTTTAACTTTACAGTAAATAACGGACAGGAGTGTTCATTCCCCATATGCCTAAAATAGGCTCTCTTCAACTGTCAGTCATTAAGAAATAATCACAAATTGCATTTCTCTGAGACGGCGAAAGGCCAAAAGCCCCATGTCTTGTCAGACAGGATAGAAAATTAAGATAAGAGTAGAAGATTAGATAAGATGATGCTTTATTTCATAAAAGTGCACAATGGCTATGCAAATGTGTCAAATATACATACAACATTGAGTGGCTGGCTCAGCCTTCATCCATGAATTTTATAACTGAATAGGGGCATGTTGAATAGAAAAAAAAATTCGAGATTAATGTCAAAACTTTTTTGGTTTGCAGCTGTTTTCAGATAATTTATCATACATTTTTCTTCCTGTTTGCATACATGTATTATCAGAGTTGAGAGCCATTTCATAATCTTTTCCTAATATGTTCGAGGATATTTTTACATCTATCTAGCGAGTTAATCTCCTTAACGAAATATCTGACATACTTCTTACAATGGACCACTAGACAAGGTATGAATTGAAGCATTCAGATACATGTTTCTTAATCAGAATTTTATGTAGAACATGATTCGCGCAACGAATATTACTGAAACCAACGCCTAACGGAGATATTAACGTTTTTATTTCACATTGGTTACGATAAATTTGAACTGCCCGCTCACAAGAAACTCAAAGCTCTACGTGAGTCAAATCGCGCACTACAGCGGTTTCAGCAAGCTTCTCAATCGAGCATTGTTCATTCCCCACCATGTGTTTTTCAAACTATAAGTAATTTGCTATAACTGAGCTAAAGCGTCAAGATTGAGGTTGCCAGATTTTTTTATCGCAGAGACGTTCATGACAACGTTTAGCGCGCGATGTGAATCACGTAGAGCATTGAGTTTTCATGAGCGGGTGGTTTCAATTCACGCACCAAGAATCATTAAATATCTTCGGAAGGAGTTGATTTCGGTAATTTTCATTGTGCGCGTAGTATTCTACGTGAAATTTTGGTGAAGAAACATGTATCAGAATGCTGAAATTCGTACCTTGTCTAGTGGTCCATTCTGATTGATTCAGCCCCACACTGTATGATTCATTGAAAAATTATTACGTAAAATACAATGGATGCATTGCATCTTTCCAAATTCAATTCATGTGCTGGAAAAATTTCTCATTTATGAATTAATTTTGGGAATTTGCAATAGGTTTAATGCGTTCTGCGTAAAATTTTTTGGTGAAAACATGTACTGTGGAGCTTAATTTCTTGCCTCAACTATTGGTTTGATGCGTTGTTGTAAATTCTTTTGATCGTTTTATTTATTTAATTTCTCATAGTTAATTACTTCGGCTATCGAGTTCATTATTCAAGAATTTCATTTCTTCAAAGGACCCAACTGATGTTTGAGAGTAACTTCCCTTAAAAATAGAAAGAGAAATATTAAGTTAGAAAAAGTAAAGTCCTTAAATGCCAGCACTTTATTTTAAGGCTGAAATTTTTCCTTTCGATCATTTTTCCTAGGGCCACCTTTCTCATGTTCATCTTAACGACTTCTTGAAGTATGTAATATTCTTGCACTTACTTCCATTTTATGATATTTTTATTTTTCTTCTCTATGAGCCCGATGCCCTCTAGCACATTGGTAATGTCATAAATTCTTCTTTTTTGTTTGACTTCTAATGCATCTGCAGCCTGGAAGAAAAAATTTGTTTACACAGTTAAGCCATAGAAAAAGTGTTGTTTAAGAGACGCCTTTCATACTCACTTCTTTGGATGTGCACAGAAAATTTACTGATCTAAAAGAATTTGTCTAGTGTATGATAGAAAAATGGAGCATCACAGAGACGCCTTGGATCATTGTCCATGTCTTATTTCCTTCTACTTCTTAGAATCAGGGTCCGATAGCTAGGGCAACAGCACCTACCGTGACTAAGTAAATAGAGCTGACTTTTAGGGGAAACAATTTTGATTCAAACATATAAAAGGAGCGTGGGATGGTAAGAACCACCGACATTGCACTATGAGAAAATTTATCCCAACACATCAACACAATGCCATAAGACAACAGATGCTAAGTGCATGTTTTGCTTGCGATTCATGTGTAGGGGATTTGCAACTGGAATACTTTCCCTACAGTACAATTTCTTAAGGAACATGTTGGTACCACTATTTTTCCCTTAACAAACTTAAATGTTCAAAATAAGCTTTTTAAGTTGAGGCCGCAATGCACAAGGTCCCCTGTGCAAAAACTGAGAGTCCGCCTCCAATAATAATAATTCAAATCGCAGTCTAGATGTGATCCAATGGATTATGAATGCATCAGTTGCTGATTCCTAATGTACTAAGTAATAACGCTGTCATAATCTACCATTGCAAAGTACATGGCCGAAAAGCAAGGTTACATTTTTAAACCTGACCACACAGCGCATTAATCACTAAGTGGCACGTAGACTATCTCCCCTTGCTGCCTCTCAAAAATGATGACCTCATGTGGTTATAAACTGTAATATCTGTTAAACAGGAGAGCTAATCAGATGATGAAGTTTGTTGTAGAAATTGAACTTCTATCGCTCTAACCTAAAAATGTTTCATTGCAGAGAAATATTCATGTTGTCCAAGAATATCAGTTCCGTCGAACATAAACTATCTAATGTTTTGGGTGATAGATTGTCTATGTAATCCTTTCGAAAGGGCCATCAAGTAATAGATTGAATAGATACTTATTTACATAAATTTGGACATGTGACTAGAGCGAGGCATTGCTTAAAAAGAGACTGCTGGAGGCAAGTGACTGAACTTGCTACGATAGGAACAAGTGGCTCCCCAGAGGCAAATTCGGGAAGGAGAATTGTAGATGAGAAACTTACCACTTTAAGGTGTAAAATACCATCGGGAGCTGACTGAAGTAACGAAACAAAACGAGTGGTGAGTAAGCCCAAGGATTTTTCGAACCTGCTCTGTTGAGGATCTAATTTTAACTCCAACATATCTTCGGGTACTCCAAGTTTCGGTTGGACATCTGCCATGATTTGAACGTTTCTAGAATACGATGATCACTAACAAAAACCATGAATTTCTGAACGCCACTTCACTTCCTTATTAGTAAGTTTATGCTCGCAACGTACAACTTATGGTTTTCAAACCCGAAGAAAACACGCAAACATTCGCGGATAGAGCGGGGAAGTCAAATCACTCACACATTCTCAATGTTGTGTAAAAATACCTGCGAAAGCAATCACACATGCACAGCAAGATAACGTTCCACTCTCGAATTCCCGAGAGCCGGCGAACCAGCCCGGGAAAGTTTTATAATTCTTCCGATCGGGAGAAATTGATGATTTTCTGTTAGAGGTGTGACCAGCAGAAAATACTGGTGGATAATATGATTGAAGTCTGGGAGCAAGAATTATTTAAGGCTGAACTTTCTGGAGAGGAATAGGGTGGAAAACTGGTAGAAAATTAAAAATGTTCCAATTTTCGTTCCTACGCCAATTTCACATTCCGCCTCGACTAGTTATCAATCGCGGGTCGCGGGAAGTTCGAATCCTAGGGCGCCAACTTGGGTTGCGACTACCTCATCTACTTTTATCATTCGAGATCCTTTTACTCTAAGTGATTCTATTAATCTTCGTTTATTGGTATTTTTCTAATTAAATGTGTTTCTAACAGTTAATTATTTAATTCAATCATCAAGTCATATGATGAGAGACAAATTATGCCAACTCGTACGCAGTATTAATTGCCATCTTAGTCCCCGAAATTCTTTTAGCACATGGAAGGGGCCGACCAAAAAATAAGTAAAAATAAGCTATTTTAATCAATGTTTTAAACGGAGGCGCGTATCTGGCGCGACCTCAAAATATTCTTCGATTTCATCGAAATTTTGGCACCATTTTTTTACCTATTCGTACCGAATGAGAGAGGGTCCCGTTGAAATTTCAAAAAAAGTGAAAAACGGGGGGGGGGGGGAGGGTTCCCAATGGTATCTCAAAAATTGAAAAATCCTTACCTACTTTTGAAACACCCTCATCTCACCTGTTGAAATACAAGCATGAAAAGCTATGGCACGCAGCTGAGGCGGCTGGGCTGTACTCTCTTCTCTCAAATTTCTAAAACTGCTCTTATGCACCTTGCCTTCCAAGCCCCTCAATTACCTTGTATATAAATTTTACTGACTCCTTTACAGCTATGGATGTTTTTTGTTACCTGAAGGTTCAATGAGGAAAACAAGAGCACACGAGAGATCATTGCAAAAATTGACCGACTTTCAACGTCAAATCTCGAGTCTGCGCTCTGCTCATGCTTTACTTTTTTGAGGTGTACATATTTTGTTCAATTCGATCTCGATTTCGTTTCTCTCATTTTGTTCTCTGTAAAAATGGTGGTCCATTCCATATTTTCTGTGAAAAAATGAAGCATGAGGACAGATTGTTTAAATCGATGATTAAGATATAGCGTCCTCAGACTTTGCCTTCAGAATGCTTCTGCATTAAAGTAAAATTGAAAGAAATGTACGAGAGAAATTAATCAAAAATGTAAAGCATACTTTTCCCAATTTAGATAACTTATGGAATTAGAAGGCATAATACGAAGCTAAAATGCAGCTTTTGACATTCTTAATTCCTTCCTCCTGTGAACTTTGAGACCAGGCATAAAAACTGGTATCTATTTGAGTGAGATGTTAAAAAAGGATACTTACCTCGGCCTTTACCCTTTTATCTGGAGGCAGTTTAAGGTGTACTTTGATTAAGAATAAAATCGCTGCACCTTGATGGCAAACTAAAATACAACTTACATCTCAATGACGGTGTTCCACGATTTCCGCCCCAATGGTTTCTTCACAAATCAAGTGAGCAAATTTTAACTGAAGGGTATTTGTAATTTTCACAGAATAACATTCTACACACAAAATAGAAGCCGCATAAATTTGCATGAAATTACGTTGAGGTCATCTAATTGAAATATAAAGCTTGCTAGAAAGCTGATGATGTTGGAAACAAAAATATGTGATTTCCACACGCCATCTGATTTGTCAAACTCACAATCAGACTGAGAGTATGTAAGTACTTATATGAGCCCCTCCACTGAATTAGGTAATTTTAGAGACTGTAGAGGCAAAATTGATACAAGATTGAAATTTTAAAAGTTTTAAGTAAAACTTTCAGAAGTTGTGGTTCTCCTAAAATTAAGTTGATAATTTCGAAAGAGGGCCATTTCTAAAATTTTGATGACTTGAGTTTTTTACAAGATCCTTTACTACTCCGGATGGATGGACAGCTAGTTTTAAAAAGAAAAATCCTCTTCTAAACAGTTCAATTTGCTATTAATGTCTAATTTTGAAAATAAGGGCAGCACTGTTCCACCAAAAATAAATTGTAAAGAAAATTTTTCTCTCTTCACTTGTTAGCTCCTGGGCCTTGCCTGTCATCCTTTGATAGACTGCAGGAAACTGTTTGGTTTCGGCAACCAAAAGGAACTGATGATGTTATTGCTTTTGTATTTGGAATTATTCCTTGCTTTGTTACACAATAGTAAGTATGTACTTTATTGTCATAATGGTATTAACACTGACATAGCACACTTCAGGGGAAAATTCTGAACGATTGAGAAATCCTTACTTCCATGCAGAATTTTAAGAATTGAGCATGAGAAACTGCCGATAATTTATAAAAAGAGCTATTTTTGTTTCAATCTCTTCCTCCACCAATCGGTGCTGTAAGGACTACAATAGGGGCAGCGTTTAAGAAAAGGGAAACAAGCGATATTTTAAAGAAAACTGAGTTGAGGATAATTTTCTCCTGCAAAAAATCAAATGATGACAAAAATATATTATCCTCTTCCTTCTCCAGCAAGCTAATAGCATTCAAAACTTTTCTAACGTGCATGTCACATTTCAAAAGTAGACCCGTTTGGCATGGCATGGATGAAACGCGTATGCTTTTGAAATATGAGATGCAGGTGAGTGAAGTTTTTAACATTTTAATTTTAACCAAGGTCAGGTGCGGGTTTCCGGTTACTTATTTTATATTAAACTAATAACGACTGCATATACAGATTCTATTGATCATTTATTTACCCTGATGATTAAACAAATGTGCTGTGTTTACTTAAGTTGGTGCTTTTTGCTTGTCTTTATTTATTTATTTACTTTTTTTTGCCAGCGCCATTGGGACACGGGAGAATACATTAGCCCAGAAAAGGTCGAGGGTGATTTCACTTCACAGATCCATTAAATCTTCATGGGAAAAAGGACTAGGTGATGAAGAGCTAGACATTAAAAACGAGGGATGAAACTTATTCATAGCGTTTTTATTATGATTACAATAAAATTGATAAAATCGATAAAATCATGAGAGACATGACACTGATACGAAAAAAATGAGACAAGATAAAAATTGATATGAAAAGAAAATTGAGATAAGAAAGCACAAAGGAAGTATATAAATTAAGGAGAGTAGAGTCAATTCATATAAATATTTCCATAGAAAATCGATAAATTAGACAACAATTAAATCTAGTATAAACATACATTTGGATGTGAAGGATACATGCTGCAATATAACCAATGTCAGCAGAAGAGGACCCAGCACAACTCGGTGCAGGATGATTTGGCACCGAAATCATTAATCCCTTCAGCTGAGCTCATGCTATATAGGCATGTAATTTTGAAAACACTTACAAAGTAATTCATCAACGATTTCCATTAGAGTGAACCATACTAGAGATCTGTATCGTACCATGCTGCAACCTGATTGTTGTCTTGTGGCGGCTGCGGTAGTTCGTCAAGCTGGTCGAAATTTAAGTCCACCCCATCTAATGGACTGTAATTGCTGTCATTTCGTGGATCTATGTCCAGTCCTTGCATGTCTACGGGAATCTGGTCATAACCTGAGGGTCAGATTTAAAGTCAATAATTATTCTCTAACACACTTCAAAAGCCTCTTCAGTTAGTTCATCTTTTAATTCACAAGAAAAACTAGAAGAGAAATTATTTTTTTTGGATACTTTCAATATCTATTCCTGTTATTTTTTTTGACCTGACTTTAAAACTAAATAGAGATGAGTTTTGAGCTGAAAAAGGGAGAATTTCCATATTTGTAATATTCCAGCGCTATCATAGCTAGAGGAATGCCTAAGAGGAGGAAACCTATACATTCAACATTAATAAGACTGAAGAAAAATTATAGTTATATTGATGTTTGTATAAACGCCTCCTCAAAATCCTTTTCGATCAGTTTAAGTGGGTTTTTCAGAATTTTCACGAACAAACACCCCTCTCAGATATAAATTTAAACCTCTTTGAATTGTGGTTTCTAAAATTTAGCAGGAAGATCAGCCCTGGACATTGGATGTGCTTTTTGTAAAGTAGTGTACATAGGAAAATTTATTAGAGAGGAGATGGTTACAGCTGTCCCCAGAGAAGAAACTATATCAACAGTGTAAGTCGGCTATCAAATAACTCGGTTTGCGACGCCGCAGACTTCCTGTCATACTTTATTTGTTAAAAGAAAAACTACTCAAAGACATTTCTTTAAAACTGCCGTGATTTTTCTTCTCTGTGCGAAGAAAATTCTGCAAAAACTTCAAGGAATGATGTCAATTTGTTCTCTTTCAAACAAATAACATAGAGGCGGAGATTTTTAGACACTGCAAACGAGATATGCGACTGCCGACTTACACCTTCGATATGTAGTTTGAAACTATGAACTGTGTGATCAAATTTGAGGAAAAATAAGGCATCCTCCAAAAAATTCACTCATCATTAATTCACACATTGCGCATATCGATGGCTAATTTGCGAAACCACGTAACTCCATTACATTGTTTCGAAATTGAAGCTCCTTTTTAATATTCCCTGGAGAAAAAAATCAAACTTTTTAACTTGAAATTGATACAGACTATTCTTCTGACAGAAAACGAAATCGGGAAAGTTTTAAAAAAAATACGAAGTATAGTTTCCCAGAGAAAAAATAAAGTATGACAAGAAGTCTGCAACGTCGCAAATAGAGAACCTGGTTTCACATTTTGGCCTTGGATATTCCATTTTTGGATCCAGCTAAAGAGGTATATCCTCACAAGAGGAGGACAAACAGTGTTTTACCAAGATTTTGATTGGAAAGCATGCAGCCAAAAGTTTCATCACATGAAACTAATGAATCCCTGTTCCATGGTTGCCTCAAATGGGCCCTGAAAGTTTCAAAAAAATAAAAAAATAAAAATAGCAAAGAGAGTTGCTTGCTATAGTAGCAAAATAACGTTCTTCGATATTCAACACTGCAATAGTGCAACTCGGAGCGTTGCTCTCTGTCCGAGAGGTTTGAGGTTCAATTCATGTTTTTTTCTCAAAATTTGTTCGTAGTATCATTCGTTGTCTTGATTCTTTCCTACTTTTCTTTTAGATGCATTGACAACAGAGGTAAGTGCATATGTGGTTAAATGACACTAAGAAAAAAGAAAAAAAAGATCAACCTAGAAAGAACTAAAAATTGCATGAGTAAACCGGGAATCAAACCCCAGACCTCTCTGTCTGAGTGCGACAATCAATGCCACTACACCATTGCTACACTCAAGTGAGAGTAGCGTTATTCTGCTGATTCAGCAAGGTACCCTCTTTGCCAGCTTGTTGATTTTGTTCTTTTCTATTTTTTTCTGGGGCTAATTCAAGAAAAGGGCACAGAAGGAATTTGATAGTTTAACATGAAGAAACTTGAGGTCTAATTTCGATCAAAATTTAGGTAGGACACTACGTAACCTCCTCCTGTTAGATTAGTTAATGGATCCAGTACGATTTCACTTATCCCCCAATAATTATGGTATTTTTACACAAAAAAAAAGTTATGTTATCTATGAAGATTTTACACTCTACAGACTATGAACAGGTAAATAATTGGCCATGATACAATTGTATTTTGGCAATTAGTTTGCTTAAATCGGAATGAACCTAATTGTAATATATTGCCTAATTTGCACTCGTGTTTTACTTTTTTAGCAGAAAACTGAACAACACACCTGATGCTTTTCTAAGAATTTCCCTCAGATTATACAGAGGGTACACAAAAAATTTCAAGGTTGAGTGTTGCTTATTTTTTGTTAAAAAAATACAACATGAGCAGATGTTGGGCAACATGTGATGTGGTTAGGCCAATCTCCGTTAAATCTGTCCAAGAGGACTATACTTTGCAACGAGGAACCACTATTTCTGGCTCATCCATGCAAGGCTGCCAGATTGCGCGATAAAACCTGGCTTATTTTACAAGGGTTTAAATGAGGGAAACGCTCATTTTTCAGCACAATCTGGCAAGAGGAACTAATGGCACATGATGGTGCCTCCCTTTACCTCTAAATTGAGGCAGAAATAGGGATCGATTATTGCAACATTTAGTCCAATGAATAAAATAGAATGCAAAGAAGAGGGCTAACAACAACACCAAGAGGTAAATAACAGAAAATCTACTTTTTCATACTCAAACTCTAAGGCTACCGATCTTATCAGCGAAATGTTCGCATATTTAATTTTTTGAAAGGAAAAAAAAATCGGTGATATATCTTTAAATTTTTATAGAATGACCATGAAATGATGAAAAAAAAATGAGAAAATTTCAAGCCTACTTAATGTTGTTTCATTTTCCTCCGAAAAAATTAATTAGATGCAGAAATCTAGATATTTAGCCATTAAGATATGTAGTTTGTGAGTTAAGCAATAACTTTTTGTTTCTACAAATGTAAACGGGTCATACATTCAAGGATAAGTTGCTATATATTAGTTTCAAGAGATTTGTTTACGATCAGTTAAGAGATGAGATCGATGGATTAAGTTAGTTTCTACAACCATTTAGACTGCATGCATTGACAGGAATTCAAAAAAACCAAAAAAAAATTTTCAATCAACTTATGATGACTTTGACATGCAACTCAAAGATGTGACAAAATGTGAGTTTAAAATCAATTTAAGGATGATTGTTTCACTCAAGGAACCTCAACAGAAGGCAGCTTATCGAGACTTGTTGAAACCATGTTGGCAATTAGGCAAATTAAAGAAGGAACTAATGTGAATTTGGATGAAGCAGGATACGCGAGAAAATGAATGAAATTTCTTCAAACATTCTTAAACCTCCTCTCTCGATTCTGACACCTTTGCTTATTCAAAGAAACTTAAACAGACAGAAGAAGAGTGCTATCATACTACTTTCATAAAGATTCTAGCACATGCTTCAAAAGTTTTTGCGGAAGCCACAAAGCTGAAACCTTAAAATTTTTTTCACGTAGGAAAAAACTTTCAAACGTTTAGGTTTTCTTCATTGGGTATTAAGTTATTTACCTTGTAAAAGGAGCTACAGGGTAAACAAAAAAAACTTCCAAATAAACTTTACTTCAGTTAGCTTACACCTAAAAGGATGAATCTAAAAAGAATAAAAAAATTGTCTTGTCTCTAATAATACAATAATAATAATTGCATTAAAAAAAAACTAACTATGTATCTAAACTTTAAAGAAGCTTAGTAATTAACCCAAAAACTGATTTAATTAATTTTAAATGAATATCAACTAGGTATTTCCACTTATTTGACTTGAAGAATACTAGCGACAGCTGTTAGAAACTCTTTATCAATGGTAACAAAATGAATCGAAGTAACATTAGCCCACAATGACTATCTACAAAAAAGATCTAAAGTCAACGACTAGGAATTTAAACAAATTGTCCATGACAATTAATTACTGAACAAAGTTGATTTTACTTAAGCTACAAAAAAAAAATCAAGGATTTAATTCACACTTTTTTAATTATTTAAATTGACTTTTACAAAAAATTTTTGAGTGACAAATATCAGCTACTGAGAGATAACATCCGTACAAAAATCTTTTTTCCTCGGGTTGTTGGTTATTTTGTGCTTTTACTCAAAATATAACAATGGCTACTAATTGACAGGACAAATTATTTTTTCTCATGAAAATATTCTGTAAAATTAATGATTCAGGTTTTTTCACTGTAAAACTGCTGAGTGATAAAGCCTCATCTTTTCAAAAATAAAAAAGAAAAAAAGTCGACACATCTTGCTGAGTGCATACAACTATTTGCAGCGACTAAAATCAAGGGAACTTGCAGTAGAAGAAGTGAGCAATGTCTTGACGCTTCATCTTACAATCTAGATTAGTGAGTGGTTAATCTGAGCACTTACATTGAAGAAAACAGCACAAATGAAGATGTTAGAGAGATGATAGAGTATTATTCGAATTGAATTCAGGAGGGTTAGTAATGGCGCAGTCACGAGGTTAGTTTGATCGGGCGTCGGTCCACCATCACCGTAAACACATCGGTATTTAAAACCTACCTGCACTCTGGAAGCGTCGTCCGTTGGTGCTCGGTGTCTGCCCGTACAGATTCGCCCCATAACCCTGATCTGGGCCTAACATATCCTAATATACACACACACACAAGCAATTTACATATCTACATAATTAGCTAAGCTAAGAAATAAACAAAAAACAGAAACCAGACAAAAAAATCGAATTCACCTATAAAAAATCATGAAAATAAATTGTGAGTCAACTCCAAAGAAGTGAAATGCGGATAGGCACATCCGAGAGCAAGGGGAAAAATCATGGTGACAAGAATTTTCTGAAACCGGGTCTTGGTGTGAAATGTGAGGGCTGACAAAAAGTACATGTTGGAGATGAAGCATGTCGCACTCGAGAGCAACTTTCTTGATCTTGCAGACTGAACAGACTTCATCATCATGTTTGGTGATGTACAAGTGTTGTTTTCTTATAGCGATTACTCTTTTGAGGAAAATGTCCAATTAACTATCTAAATGGTTCAAGCATGTGCAGCTATATGCATATGCTATCCTAACTTGGACTATTTTGAAAACTAATTGGATAGCCTCCTCAAAAAAATTGTTGATAAAATACTATACGGACATCGTCACACCTCCAACGTACAGGCACATCTCTATTTCCGCAAGAGCTTTTTTATTCATGTAACTCTTCACTTTCCATGGCTCACATGAAAATGGAGATAGAGCGTTATATCAGAGATGTGACAGTAATGATGTTCAGCAATTGACTCAATATGATATAGTCATTAATGTCGAATGAAGTTGTAAGCTGCCAATTAAAATATTATCCAATGCACTGCACTCATATTCTTTAAAGGAGCAACTTTTTGTCCGCTTTCAAATTTTGCGTCAAGGCCCGATTTTGGAAGCTTCAAGTGCCCTGCATTTTGCTTTGTTACTCCCAGAAAAATTATACGCAACTCCGTTTTTCTTATGTTAAAGTGTGCTGTCGCCGAAATTGAAAAGGTCTAAACAGATATTCCCTGAGGCCTGACAGGTTGAATAAAGTCATCACTGCATTTCAAGCTTTTGGTTTTAAATCTTGGGTAGAACAAGCCTTTCACTTTCTTTTCTTTTGTACAGAGTATTCTCAAGTCTTTAACTCTTCCCTTCTCCCAAATTTTTTATTGCTTCCAAAGAAAAATTGAACTTGAGATTTGTATGGAAAAGATAAAAAAGATTGAACAAACCTCAGTATTAATTCAGAATAAATGAGTTTTATAAATATTTGATTTTCATTATTCACAAGTCTATTTAAAATGTTCCAAAATCCCCAGTACGCAAAAAAAAAAAAAAAAAAAAAAAAAAAAAAAAAAGGACTTTACAAAGCTCTGTCTCTTTTTAATTTTTACTTATTCAACAAAGCAGACATCCTTCAGTATTTAATAGGAGAGAGTACCTACGTATTTTTAAAACAAAAGGAAATAAAAAGGCACAAATTCTATGGATGAAAAAATCTAGTGGAGAAAAAATAAAAGAGAAGAAAGATGAATAAATTAAAAAAAACGGCCTCTGATGAAGTTTTAAAGTAAACTCGCGAGAGTGTCTTTGATCGAGAGTGCATAGCTTTATTTCTTGCACTAGCAACAGCTTTTTAGAATGACATCACAAATTAATCTGGAGAAGCTGAAATTTGCCACTGAAAACAAAGTTATGGAAAACCAAAAAACCAAGAGATCAAGCTGAACTTTATACACCTGAAGCAGAAGTGAGTCAAAAATGCTGCCTCCAAAATGAGAGTTTGTGCATTGATGTGATTCCATTCCGAGTTATGAACATCCAAAGATTACTTCTACCGACACTTTTTTCAGTGACTTTTATGGGTATTCCCTTTGAAAGAAATTTTCTTTTTTTCAAAATTCAGCGGCAACAATGACCCCGAAGATACATCATTTACCAATACATATATCTTTTCGCATTTGAACCATTTTGAACATGCCTACGTTTTTACAAGTCACTCTAACAATATGCTTCGGTAGATCCTTGTCAATCAGTTTTGAGGCATTGAAGGCATTCTTTGAACCTACACATCACTTGGTATAGAATCACATTCCCTGACCAAATTACTTTCGGTGCACTTGCTTTAAGCTTGGTGCGCGTGAAATGAGGCGCAAGTGTTAAATAAAAAATGAAAACGGTCTTTTTACATGGAAAATGTCACATTGTCACTTCAGTCTCAAGGACCCTTGTTGAGTTGACAAACTGACAAGGGGAGCTTCCCAAGTGTAACCGGAATTTCGAGTTGAAATTTCGCATGAAGATACTAGAGATGATTTTAGGGATGCTGTATTTTTTCGTTTTTTCAAATGGGGTCGGGAAAGCCCTCAAAAAAAGGGCTAAAGATGCGGAAAAAACGCGTGCGCTAGCGGCACAAGATAAACATAGGTGATAGAGGCTCTGAATCCTTATCAGTACCGCATGACCAAACGGTAGCGCGCTCGCCTCGCAAGCGGGAGGTCCTAGGATCGGATCCTGATTACAACTCGTAATTTTATTTTACTTTATGCTTGTTTATTTTTCACTTACTTTATTTTGCACCATTCGCTCCGCAAACCGACTTACGAGGTAGAACACGTAGTGACTGAAGATTTTTTACACATGCTGATAAAAACTCGAAGTTTCTCTTGGATTGAAACGTTATAAACGTCGAATCTGTATCTATATCTGACTGATACTCCGAAAATTCAGCTTGGCAACGAAATTTGGTGAGTTTTAGAGTGTTTTGTTTATTCAATTAAATATAACATTTCAATCCAAGAGAAACTTCGAGTTTTTATCAGCATATGTAAAAAATCTTCAGTCACTACGTGTTCTACCTAGTAAGTCGGTTTGCGGAGCGAATGGTGCAAAATAAAGTAAGTGAAAAATAAACAAACATAAAGTAAAATAAAATTACGAGCTGTAATCAGGATCCGATCCTAGGACCTCCCGCCTGCGAGGTGAGCGCGCTACCATTTGGCCATGCGATACAGAAAAGGATTTAAAGCCTCTATCACCTACGTTTACCTTGTGTCGCTAGCGCACGCGTTTTTTCCGCATCTTTAGCCCTTTTTTGAGGGCTTTCCCGACCCCATTCGAAAAAACGAAAAAATACGGCATCCTTAAAATCATCTCTAGTATCTTCATGCGAAATTTCAACTCGAAATTCCGGTTACACTTGGGAAGCTCCCCTTGTGAGAGGAAAAAGATGGGAGAGCCAAAGACTTCAGGGCGGACGGTATGATTCTATGAAAAATCCCGATTCCAATAATGGTCTGATGAGTGAGTTCGACTGTTTTGTTTCTTTGAGAAAGAGAATACATATATACTAAAGGAGGGGGAGGAGGCATGGATTGCTCCAAAGGATCCAAGAAACACCCGCTTTTTCATATCAAGATTTTATTCAAAAGAAATCCTACCTCTATAGATAAAATCTGCTTGAGAAATATATTTGGACTTGTTTGAGGGAAATTCAAAATTGGAAAGATTATTTCCTTAGAAAATAAAATAAAAAAAAAAATAGAAAAAAAAGGAGCTACTAACGAACAAAACAAATTAAAAAAAGAAATTTTGCAACTTAAATGAGGTTTTCGGCCAAATGAAACCTTAGCTCATGCTCAGCAACTACACATCTGTAAAGAAGAAGCTCTCCAAAATTTCAAAGATGCAAAATTCAAACTATCAGATTTGAATGACAATAGATTGATCGGCGCTATTCACTGGTTAAAAACAAAACTCACGTCAAACGAAGAGCTCAATAGGAAAGAATTTTCTCATTCAAATTATTGACTGCCTAAATTTTTGAACGGGACATGGCGAAAATCACTTCAAAACAACAATCATGGAAAATACGAAAAAAAGGAAGAAAAAAAACTTTAAACATCTGATGCACGGATTGATGGTTGAGCTAAAAATTCAAGTTTTGAAGTGCAAACTGATTATTCTAGAGCCCATCAAAACCTGATATGAAGATGTCACATACCTGAAGATCGCGGCCCAAGCCCAGATCATCCGCTGTCCACATTTGGTCATCACGCAAGAGTGAATTCGTCAACTCCATGGACAGTCGTTTTTTGTAATCTTGCGGCTTATCTTCCGACATGCGGAATAGCACTGCAGCAGCGTAGGTAGCTGTAAAAAAGGAACAAAGGCTCTTTCAACATCAAACATTACTTCCTATGGAGTTGACACTTTTTAAACTCTAATTTCAGCTTGGAAGAAGGGGTTAAAAAAAAATCAGAAACAAACGAAAGTCGATAAAAAAGGAAAAAGTCAACATTGAGTGTGGATTACTTCAGCATTTAATTTGCATGGCTCAAAAATGTTCACCATTTTTTACATTAGGATCCAGAAAAAAACATTAAACTTGCTGCATAAATACGTCTCCAGCATACCAATTGCTCTCTGCCAGAGATCAAACAATGGACCACAGGACAAGGTACGAATTTAAGCACTATGATGTATATTTCCTTCATGAAACTTCACAAATGCAACAATTTGCGAAACAAAAATTTTGAATTTGCTTCTAACTAAGGTATTTTTGTTTTCATTTGGCACTGATTACAAAAAATTTGAATTTCCCGCTTACAAGAAAAATCAGATTCTAACAGAATCAAATCATCAATTACAACGATTTTGGAAGGTTTTCTCATTGAGCAATGTTTCTTTCCCAACTCAATTTAACTCGAGCAGATTATGGTTTTTTCATGCGTGAGAAGTATGAATTCATGTATTAAAAAAAACTAAATACCTTGGTAAAGAGTTACTCTCAATAGATTTGTTGCAAACTCGTTTTCTGCTTGAAATTTCATTGGGAAAAATATATTACGATGCTTAAATTCGCACCTTTTTCCAGTGGTTCATTGACTGGAATACATAGTAATCAATAGACTTTGATGCTTGAAATTCTAGAAGAAAAGAAAGTCTCCAAAATAAGAAGCACAAATGCTTTCAGAACAGTCTTCAGGAATCAATGCAAGAAAAATCGACGAGAAGTTGAGTTTAACTTTATAATGATTAACATGATACCTAACATTTCCAGATACGATAATATTCATACTTTAAAAGGTATTATCCGTTAACATTGTTATCAACCAGTTACCTACTTACTTCGTAAACTTGTTTGACTGGATTACTAAGAATGTATTTATAAAGTAGTTTTTGTGTTATTTATACCGTGCAAAATCTGTTATACTTGTTTATAATAAGTATGTTGAATTCTTGTTACTAATGTGGCTGGTGGTGACAAAATTAGTCGAAATCCTTCCCATATATCTCTCAATATAAGTTAACCAATAGGTGAAACATTTTTGTCAATCACACTTCCTCAGCTAATACCGTATAAATCATGAATATTATTGAGTTTAACTTACCAACACCCTCATTCCTCGAGTGGAGCAACTCAGTCAATGGTGCTGTAGCGCCTTCTTGTTCGATCATCTCAGCACCCTCCTTGTCTGTGGCCAACTCACAAAGAACTCCCGCAGCGACACGCTGGATATTCTCGATCTCATTGAACAGAAGTTGAACGAAAATGGAGATGACCATCTGCGCTCGTATCACACTCCTGTTCTGCGACTCACGTGCCAGAATATGAAGGGCGCCAACTGTGCCTTCGACAATTTCCTCCATTCTAACACCGTCCGCATAAGCTCCCCCTACCTGTTGGCTACCTGTGCTGGCAACACTTGACCTCTGTGCGAAGGAACAAGAAAGAGGAATTGATTATTCTTCTACAATATTAGTGTTCGAGAACTGCATGAGATAACATTATCATATTTTCACTCACTTGCAAGTAGATTTATTACAGCGGATCTGTTTTGCCGATAATAAGTTAACAAGCAAGTTAGTATAAAAGCAATCTAAATTTCATGAGTATTTCCCTAGCTTTTTGGCGTTACAAACTCAAGATTTATATCAGCCTTTGACTACTCAATGTGCAATTATAGAAAATGAAATTTCAGCAAAGTAGAGGCCAGTGAAGATTTGATGACAATTTGACGCAGCACTTGATTGTATCATTGTGGAGCACAAAGTAAATTTCCAAAGTTCTGGCAAATTGTACACAATACACCAAAATGAACAAAAATTTCAGCTCCTGACAGTTAAAGGCTGAAATAAACGAAAACACTTCAACAAATTAAGGGTACAACAGTTTGTAATTTTCAATATGTCTAGTTTATGCTAAATTACTGGTTTCACATGCTCACTATGCATCAAAGTTTTAAGATTCCAAACTAATCAATTCTTCCTCTATTTCATCTATAGATGACTTTTCTGCAATTGCTCATCTACAAAGCCTTGCTACTGGAAATTCATCCAATTTTAAAATTGGAATTTTTCAAAATTTCAACAGAATGCAAGAATGCAACTGGGTTTCGTTTTTTTTTTTTTTTTTTTCTTGACTCAATAAAGAGTCTCTCAAAACCTAATTATACAGGATGTACCAACGAAGTGGCAACAAACTTTTAGGGGTTTTTCTATGGCTTAAAACAAACAGAAAATTCCCTTACCAGAATCCTCTGAGATGCAAGAGTTCTTGATTTACAGGGAGTTCAATGTTTGAAAAAAATACCGTATGTGTTCGGTTATGACGTCACAGTGGCTACCGTAATTCTTGGAACTCGAAAACAATTGTGGTTTCGTTACATACTCATCAAGAACTTAAAAAAAAGTTATTTCGGTTTTTTCGTAAAACCCCTTAAAAAATACCGTATTACGGTATGTCACAAATAAAGTAGGTCATGATGTACGGTAAAACGGTATTTTGTTAAGCGGTCAATAACTCCATTAGGCGGGGTTTTACGAAACAAACGAAGAACCTTTTTCTAAGCTCTTGATGAGTATGTAACGAAACCACAATTGTTTTCGAGTTCCAAGAATTGGGATAGCCACTGTGACGTCATAACCGAACACATACGGTATTTTTTTCAAAAATTGAACTTCCTGTATATCGAGAACTCTTGCATCTCAGAGGATTTTGGTAAAGGACTTTTCTGTTTGTTTTGAGCCATAAAGCAACCTCTAAAAGTTCGTCGCCACTTAGTTGGAACACCCTGTACATTGTTTTAATGTTAATTTAACACACCAAAAATACAAAAAAATAATTTATTTTTCAAATGAAAGATATTGTACATTGATTATGGAGGATTTATAATTTAGAACTGAATGATACTTACGCTACGTTGAGTATCTTGGAATGCACGAATGAGAAGCCTTGCTAACTGATGAATGGCCCCGTTTTCTCGGAGGGGGGCATGATTTGCTGGGCAGAGAGCTAGGTTACGAACAAGACCAACAACTGCTTTCACCAATGGCCATCTGGAGGTGGGTTGTAACAGTTTGACCACAACAGGGATGCCGTAGTTAATGCGGACAGCATTTTGCGCCAGTTCACATTCAGGGTGACGGGAGGTGAGGTGTCGCAGAGCGCAGACCTGAGAAGGAAAGAATATGATTATTTATTCAATTTTATTTTTTTTGTTCACTTCAATAAGCCCCAAAATGGTAGTCCTGTGCTTTCAGTCTTATCCCTGTCTCCCTTGATCCCTGCTCAACAACCAGCTCTGGGCAAACATTGTTGATAACATTCAAACTCTGGTCGCCTGGCTGGGAATTGAACCCAGGACCTCCTGTTTACAGAGCAACTACTTGAATAACTAGCTTGTTCTTGAAGTAACTTTGGCATTAATAGAATAATTTTGTATGGTAAAGGAATGAGAGCTCAAACTAGCACAATAACACTCCTTTGAGATCATAAAATATACCGGAGAATAGCATGAAAGAATAACTTACCGCTGGCTCAGTAATTTCTTCACGCTCGCCAGCATTGATGATTGTTCGAACAAGAGCATCCACCCCACCCACTTGATAGACAGTCAATTTATTGCGCTGGTTGTTGCATGTTAGGTTGGAGAGGATTCCGGCAGCACAGGTTACAATATTGATATCGTTGCTACCTAAGAGTTGAACCAAGGACTGCAAGAGGCCTTCCAATCCATCAACCTTTGTGCCAGCATCGGAGAGGTTTCGCAGAGTCCACAGGCAGTTTTGAACTAATCTTGGGCTGGGATGACCGAGGTGCATGGATAACGCCTGCAAACCTCCAGCCTCCACAATCGATGGCTTGTTGCTCGGACACACAGACAGCACTGAAATAAAACCAAAGAGATAAGATCAGGTTTGACCTTGAGAGGAAAAGTGCGCTTGTAAAAAGAGATAGCCTCAATGGAAAACTGTCCATATATGTGCCCAACGAAAGAAGCTGTGTTTTTTTTCTTTGCATAAACGAAAAAAAACGAGTGTGAAACATTGGACTTCCACCCTTTTTAAAAGTACCGATCCAAATAGAATACCGGTAGTAAGTGTGGCTCATTCTGTCATTGTGCTTGAACGTCCAATATTTAAAAGTGTGCATGGTCTATTAAAACTTTTGATTGGCTGCTTATTTAGCTAACATTTGTAGCTTGTATCTATTGATTCTCAACGCTCCTCACCTTTTAAAACGCGAGAAGTAGTCCAAAGTAGCTTCTCGTAGTCATAGCTCCTCATAATACGGACCAATTCAATGGGTCCTTGAGAGGCTAAGATGATAAGTTTGCTTTCTTGGTTTCCGTAAGCTAGAATCTGCAAACAGTCAGTGACAATAGCCAAGAATTTGACGTTGTTGCGTTGGAGAAGTGCGACCATCTTCTGAAGCCCACCGGCAAGACGAACGCCCATTTTAGATCCTTCTTGATGCAGAAGTAAGTTGTGGAGGGTTGTGATGGCGTAGAAAAGCACACTTTCCACAGGAGAGCTGTGATAAAAGAAGGGAATAATTATTCTAACGTGAGTGGAGGGAAGTTTTGAAGTACTTTTTTTCTCATTCAAAAAGCAAAAAGTTATTGAAAAGAGGAGTAACTATAGCAGTCAGGAAAACTAACTATTACGTATGAACTTAAAAATGAATAGGAACCATAACAGAAGTTTGATTTAAAAAAAAAAAAAAAAAAAAAAAAAAAAAAAAAAAATCCAAACCTAATGATAGGTTTCTGGTTCTTCAGTGATTTGATGGTAATTACTGTTTCAGCTTTGGCCTTTGAGAAGGTCATAAAGAAGTCCTGAGTTTCGTTTTAATTTTGGACGATAAACATTAGAAAGCAATCTGGTAAAAACCTTGAAAAAATACTTTAAATTTATCTTGAAGACATCTTTTTCTTTTGACAATATTGTTCGATTTTTATCAGTGAAAATTGATGACTTTCTGAGATTACCTTAAAAGTTTTACTAATGCTGGAATTCCGCCGCTTTTGAAGATTGCAAGGAGACCTTGACGATGATGTGACAAATTGTGTAGAGCGCCAACAGCAACTTTGGTGGTTTCGAAATCATTAGAATTGGATATTGCTCGAACTAAGGCTGCCACCATCTGAGAAAGGTCAATACAATTTTGATTCATTCATGATGAGTCAAGAAAGTCATTTTGAAAACACACTATTTGAAAGTAAAATGTACACTGGGCTCACAGTTATGTTTCTCTTTTTTGTTTTGATGATGACAACTAGGAGAAAAAATAACATTTTTTGAGCACAAAAAATTAGGATTAAAAGTGGTCTGAGTAACAACAAGCTCAGTGTCACTGACATTATCTTGCTTACTTGATGAAACTCTCCAAGTAGCTGAAATCTACCTTTGAAAAAACATTTCTAGAGAGACAGAAAAACCTGTAGATGAGCTTATACGCAGTTATCGAACAATTTGATCCAAGGCAGAATTTTAATCCTTTTGTCTTTTTGTCTTGATTTTTCAACCATACAAAATATGTCCTTAACTATTTTACTTTTTCTTTTGGAAAATTTCTTTTCCAACCTATTTTGACAATTGAAAACATTACCAGAAAAAGGGGGCTTAGGCAAAAACCTAGTTTTCAGTAAATTGCGTTTGAAAGTGTACTTCGATTCTACAGACATGCAAGTGATAAAAGCACGCAACCTAAGGTCAATTTCAAAGTAGAATATGTTAGAGTTTGAAATAATCACCGCCTTTAAATAGCAAAGTGAACATGTGTTGAAGATTGCAAAGAATGCGATTGTGTTGTGTAACTTTTTTCCGTCAAACACATTTTAGGAGCTAATAATGATGAAATATTCGGCCTGAGATCAAACAAAAATAAGTATTTCTCCAAAAATTAACATAAAATATTCTCCGTGACATTATTTGAGATACATTTTCATTACAATAAAAAGAAAAATATCATTTTGAGAGTATACAGATTGCCCAAAAGGTTGCATGATGGTTGGATCCATGATGTACGTTCATCCTTCCCAGAATTTTTATTCACACTCAGGTTAGATACCCTGAGTAAATTACTCCTTTATATTTTTGATGAATAATGTTGACTCATGGCCCCATTTTTTTACTTGATGGATCTACGGATGTAACCGCGTAGATATCTGTCCCCTTTTTCCGGCAAACTCATCTAAATACAGAAATCTAACCAATTCGACCCTTCTCCTTCATACCATGCGTGAAAATTAAGATATCATCATGAAACTTAGTGCATGCATTTTCGATGATATGAGGATTTCAATGAGCCAGGTAACAAAAAAAGGGAACATATGCATATGTCCCCTTTTTTTGGCAGTGTATTCAATTGAGGCATTTTTTGGTAAAAGGGTGTATTCGGTCTTTCGCCCTTTTCCGGGAGAACTTATTTTCTGAATCCTACTGATGTTACCCATCCAAAAATATATAAGTAGTTTGTGTATGGTGGGAAGCAAAAAATTGAAAATGGAGCCATCGGAATGAGGGTACCTTGGCTGAAATTGGATACATTAGCCACAAGCCAAGATGCAGCAAGTATTCTCTATCTTTCCCCACGCGCCGCTCCAAGCTCCTGTTTATATCACTAGTATTTTCATGAATATTGAGGGTAAACAAATGCCTACTCAGTGATTTCATTCTTGTTTAAAACTCTTTATGGAGTTTTAAACACTTGCAAATTCAAAATGATATTAATTTTTTCGGACGCTCCCACGGGTCAAAATCGAAATTTCGCAATGTTGTCATTCTGCAGCTGGTTTGCGGAAGTTCATAGCATGGAGGTAGAACACGTTTTGCCAGTTTGCAGGTATAGTTCCAGTATAAGCAATCGTAATTTTGGTAAGCACAGCCATGTTTTGAAAAATATAGCAATAATCCAGGCCGCCACAGATTATTGACAAATGCCATGAAAAGCCAGACGCTCTCTGGATAACTCAGGATACATCCATCTTAAAAGACTGGTCGGCCATCTTTATGACTTCGATGATTTTCAATTATATGAATTCTTATCACTTTTAGCCAAAGTTTTGGATTAATTTTGTCGCAGGGTTTTGTTCCATTTTTTATTTTTTTAATAAAGATTTATCTTGAGTTTGAAAACGCACTGATTTCATTTTTTCAAGCAAAATCAAAATGACAAAACCGGCAAATGCTTGTAACACAATTCAATTTTACAATTTATATTATATTTTGATAAATTAATACAAGAACAGAGATAAACTTAAACTATAGATTGCGGAAAGAGAGTTTTTCTATAAAAGGGCATATAGATATTACTTATTCTTGTATTAGCCATATCTCAGCAATTTGACGTGCTAGATAATTTAAATTCTGGCTGATATTACTCAATAAAAATACCTGTAATCCTGTTTATAATTCTCTAAAAAATAGACACAAATGTTGGAGATACAACTTTTTGAACTTTCAAATGCGTTTTTCTCAAAATTGTGATTTTTTTAATACGCCCTTTTACCGAAAAATGCCTCAATTAATTACCGTCCAAAAAATAAATACATTTTGCATTACCTGAGGGCTGTTCATGATAGCATGCCGAGAAGCTTCTTTTTTGGATAGTTGGTGCACCATGATGGCTGCCTGCGACACAACCACCTGATCTTCATCATTCAACAGTTTGATCAATTCTGGGATAGCGCGGGTAGCCAAATCAGCATCATCCTAGGATACAGGGGAACATCACCCAGTTAGAGAGAAATCCACCTCGATTCAAAGTACCAGATATATTTACAAGAAAACTACTTCAGCTGATAAAATTTTTTTCATGGTAAGGAATCAACAAAAAGTCTGCGACCATAATCCTGATCTTTCGTTAATGACAGAAAGTTCTGGGAAAGTAAGAATAAAATATAATTTAACATTCACAATGGAGCTTGAAAAATAAAATTTTTGTGACATTAATATGAAAAATTTGGATTAAAAAACATAATTTAGGGGTTCCTAGCATATCAAATCCTTTCAAAATACGTTCTCTTGTAACAGGATTGCCTAGTCCTTTAAAGAACATTAATTCCTTATTTCGAGTGTCCGAAAAACTGACTGAATGCTTAAATGTTGATGTTGGCAGCAAAACTTGGTAATTTAGAAAATTGTTCTCAGCTCAAATATAGAGAAAAAGAGGAAAAACTCCTGCATACACTTCGACACCACTGGGGGTGAAATACTAATTACTACTTAATCTACTTAATGCGTTGAGTCCAGAAAATTATAAAATTGAGAGTAAAGTTATCGCACTCATTTTAAATTATTGTTTTGTTTTTTCTTTTAAAGAAAAAGTTTACTAATCGTTTCAGGAAAATATTTTTATAAAAAAAATAAAAAATGGGTTGAATTTCGTTCATTGTGCTTTTGGTCGTTTGCCAATTCTAAAATATGTTAACTTGGTTTTTCAAGAGCCTTACCTGATAATTAATGAGGTTGACAACAGCATGCTTCAACATTTGCGATGGTTCTGTAAGACGCTGAACAGCTGTTGGCTGCGTTTGGTCCAGCTGTGTTGAAGGAATTTCGATTCCTTCTTCTAAGGTTTCCGGGAACATGGCAGCTCGCACTCGCTGGCCACGAGTTTGGCTCAAGTGTTGGTTCATTTCTACAGAATAAACATCAATATGGAACTGATAAACATTTCTAACAAAAAAGGCACCAGCAATCTTGCGTTTTCGAACTCAGGTGAGCTTCAAATCTTCATTGGACAAGGTGGATCATATAAAAAAAGGTGGGGAGAATTTTGGGACTCATTGGAATTTTACTTGGAGGTTTTTTTATCAGTGGAAGATGAAAAAAAACGTAGTTCAACATGGTGAAGGCATGGCTGTGCTCTAAAATTTAACCCCCGGTAGTATCTGCGGCAATCGTTCATAAAATTTTATTGGTTTTTCTGCTAGCCTTGCGGTGGGAGTAGCACAATGGTGAGCCAGTCAATCCTTTGACTTCTGAGTTAGATTTTCACCCTGTGCTCCCTCACCCTGGGTTAAGAATGGTAAAACTGACTATTTTTAGTTTTGTTACCCTTATTCACCTATTTCTCAACCAAACAGCTTGGAATTGGTGACTTATCTTGAAGTAATTATGAGTGGAGATCAGTCACCAAAAGTTAACTACTGTTGCCCAAATTTTTTTTTAAATAAATAACACCGAAAATGAATATGAGGTTCCAGGACAAGAATCTCGTCCGTAGGGGCTCAGTGCGGTATTACGATGACGAGTATACTCATCCGTAGGAGGCCAAGGGTTAAGGAAAGGAAAAATTTTACTGATGATGAATTATTTGGAAATGATACATGACACCTTTCTACAAAAATTCATCATTAAAAGGAGGCTTTGAATTTTTTTATAATTTCTAGGTGCAAAAAGAAATGAAAGTACATCTACTGTGGTACCGAACTCTTGCCTGCAAAGTTGTAATTTTTCTTGTGCACAGTATGGAGAAAAAAAAAACTAGGCAATAAAAGCGGATTGCATGATTACCATCAACTTGGTCTTGGGTGAATCCTTGAGTGAATCCATGATCCAAATCGAACATCAACTGGTCGCTATCGATTTCATCTTTGACAGATGGAGCCTGGGTAGTCGCACCAGAATGAATACCTGAATCTGCCATGTAGGCATTCTGAGCCCACATGAGCGTTTGTTCTTCTTTTCCAGGGTCATTGCCCTGGTACACTGAAAACATTGAATATGATTTTTAGATTGAATGGAGTAAAATAAAGAGAAAATTTTTCTTTTTTACAGAAAAGCATGCATTCCTGAATTCTACAGCTTAAAGATGTACGTTACCGCATGTAAGATCCGAAGTTAAAAGAGAGAAGGTGAAAATTTAAAAAATTAATCATCAAGGAATCAATAATGCCTGACTGACTTACCCTGTAAATATGAATTGACTGTAACCTAGGCCATGGTCCTCATCATTAAGCACAAAGAAAGGTCACTATAATTACTGAAGATTTTTCCATTTTCCATTCTAATTCCAAAAACTTTCAGTGTCTGAGTGGATATAGATGAAACATTTTAGGAAGATAAAACATCATGAGGAAACAGAATAATTTACAATGAGGCAAGTGGTCACAGTTGCCATTAAATTCGCAACCTATGGCGTATACCTAGTAAAGTGAGCTACGCCAGTGAAAATCGTCCCTGTCATTTTCAGATGTTGCGCTTCATTTTCAGCCCTTTTAGATCACTTTTGAATTTTTAAGACGAAAATTTTGTTTTTCATGAGAAAAATCCAACAGAATGCAAAAGCTCCTCTAGAAATTCCAAGAATTTCAAAATGACTTGTCAATTGCCAACTGCGGACCCTTGAAAATTGTGAGTACTCACTGACTGAAGGCTGGACACCATACTCAGAATAAAATACTTATCAATCCAGAACCTAGGAATTGATACGAAGGAAAAAGAGAAGATTTTTCGATGATGATTTTAAAAGAAAGAGAGGGAACTGACACATAGGGTACAAAAAAAGGTAATGATAAGTCCAAAAATCAGTAACAAAGCATACACAGAGAGGCACTTACTTTGCCGATTGGGCATCTGATAACTCATTGTTGCTGAAGCTCAACGCTATTCACTCAAGACTGAAATGAGAAAAAATTCAGTGAAATTAATAAAGCAATTTATAGAGGGGAAAAAACACTAAAAGTGGGGTTTAAGTACATGCTGTTTAAAAAAATGAGAGACTGGAGCTGAAGAGACTAAATCTAACTTCCTGTCTAACACGTCACAAGACTTTTGTTTCCTTGGGCACCAAAGTCACACAATCAGAATAAATCTGGTCCAGTATGCGACCTCGTCTTGTAGAAGACGATGAATATGGAGAGTTAGAGCCCCAACAAAATGGTACAAAACTGAAGCAGAGGTATGCTGCGAGAGAAAGAAGATTGATTTTTATCAGAGCATACGCCAGAATCCACAGCTGATTACTTCCTAGCTATACCCAATGGATTATCAAACAGTGAACACTATTCATCAAGAACACACTGGCACACTCTCTCAATTAAAGCTCTGCTACATGCTCTTGCTTTGAACTCCAGTATCAATTTTCCCCATTCAGTTAAGCGTCCCACCCTCTAAGAACAACCTCTGGAGTTCAACAGAAAATTAGACCAGGTAAATTCAGTTCAAACGATGGATACAGGTAAATTTACTGACTCTAATAATTGCCTGTAGTCAGTCAGAGAGAGGAAAACCCTAAAATCTCTTGGGCAATATCATACTCCTGGTAATACTAAGGTTGAACAATAAAAGGCTATCTTCAAAACCTTCGGCACAAAAAAGTAAGTTACTTAACGACTAAGCATACCCATGAAAAAGTTTAAAAATTTTGGGATGATTAGGAAAACTAAAAATTATTAATGATATTGGATATAATTAAACGAAAAGAAAAACTTAAACAGAAACAGAATTCAAATCACTTGGATAATGTATGAATCGCTCACTGGTCTCAAGGAGGGTGTAACTGAGATGACTCACAGGGAAACTTCAAGCTCATAGCTAAAGCGGGAAGTAAAAAGAAAGATTGTGCCGCATGAGATTCGAAAAAATTGGTGCGATTCAATTTGAAATATTAATGCGAAAATCCGATTTTTCCGTTATTATAAATGCTAATAACTCGAACAACTGAAGGCTGACACGAAAGATGGGACTCTACAAGAGTTCGGTTTCGACGGTTCATACCCTTTGAATTCGGTTAAAAGAAATGAGAAGTGAAACTGACTTACAGCGTAAAGAGCTCAACTTGTAAAGAAACACATAAAAATCGATTATTTACTTTGAAAAACCACGGGAAAAACACAAATTGTCAATCACAACAAATGAGCCAAGACTGCGGCCGCCATTTGCGTCGCCTAGATTGAGTAAACACAATTTACAGCGTTGCCAATATCCATTCATTAACATCTTAGTCATATTACCGTACTACCGTACGTTACTAAAAAAAGGTACCGTTTTTTTCAGCATTCCAATCGATGTCAGTGTTGCCGAGAGGACCCGAAATTAATAACGCTCGCAGTCGCAGGATTTCCAAAGAATATCATCACAAAAGGGACTCTAGTCACAATGGTGTAACACCGAATTCATTGACCTATTCGACTTTTAGGACCAATAAGATGATAGAAAATCTCCCGACTGGACTTAGGTCACTTTTCCATCAAAGGAGAATGGCGTTCGCCGCGACAATCTGATGATGTAGGGTACACGGGTAAACCGACCCGTAAGCGTGCGAGAGAGAGAAAAAATCGCCTGCCGGAACGCTTGTATATACATGAGAGATCGAATAGGTATAGCCAGACGGCAAGCTTAAGTGTACGAGAGGGACAGAAAATACCCAGGCGGGATGCGTATGTATGCGAGAGAGATAGAAAATCGCCTGGCGGGACGCTTGGGTGTGCGAGAAGGACAGAAAATAGCCAGGCGCTTCGCGCATAAGTGCGAAAGAGAAAGAAAATCGCACGGTTGGACTTGCTTTGTTAATACGGCCAAGGCGCATCGCGTCCCCCCGCGACCCTCTGAGAGCGGTTGCGCCATCATCGGTTGCCCTTGGCGGCTCGCTCAAGTGTGCGAGAGAGATATAAAATCGCCTGGCGGGACGCTTGGGTGTGCGAGAGAGACACACAACAGCCAGGCGGCTCGTTCAAGTGTGCGAGAGAGATAGAGAATCGCCTGGCGGGACGCTTGGGTGTGCGAGAGAGACACATAACAGCCAGGCGGCTCGCTCAAGTGTGCGAGAGAGACAGCAAAAAGCCAGGCGGGACTTCGGTAGTTTTTCCGTCAAAGCAGCATCGCGTTCCCCCGCGACCCTCCGAGAGTGGTTGCACCCTCGGTTGCCCCGTTTAAGGGCACCCAGTGCGAGAGAGACAGAAAATCGCCCAGGTAGAGAGCGTATAAGTGCGAGAGAGACAGAAAATCACCCAGGTAGGAAGCGTATAAGTGCGAGAGAGACAGCAAATAGCCAGGCGGGACTTGGGTGGTTTTTCCGTCAAAGCAGCATCGCGTTCCCCCGCGACCCTCCGAGAGTGGTTGCATCCTCGGTTGCCCTTGGCGGCTCGCTCAAGTGTGCGAGAGAGATAGAAAATCGCCTGGCGGGACACTTGGGTGTGCGAGAGAGACAGAAAACAGCCAGGTGGCTCGCGCATAAGTGCGAGAGAGAAAGAAAATCGCACTGTTCGACTTGCGTTGTTTTTACGGCAAGGCGCATCGCGTTCCCCCGCGACCCTCTGAGAGTGGTTGCGCCATCGGTTGCCCTTGGCGGCTAGCTCAAGTGTGCGAGAGAGACAGAAATTCGCCCAGGTAGGTACCGTATAAGTGCGAGAGAGACAGCAAATAGCCAGGCGGGACTTGGGTGGTTTTTCCGTCAAAGCAGCATCGCGTTCCCCCGCGACCCTCCGAGAGTGGTTGCACTCTCGGTTGCCCTTGGCGGCTCGCTCAAGTGTGCGAGAGAGATAGAAAATCGCCTGGCGGGACGCTTGGGTGTGCGAGAGAGACACATAACAGCCAGGCGGCTCGCTCGAGTGTGCGAGAGAGATAGAAAATCGCCTCGCGGGACGCTTGGATGTGCGAGAGAGACAGAAAACAGCCAGGTGGCTCGCGCATAAGTGCGATAGAGAAAGAAAATCGCACGGTTGGACTTGCGTTGGTTTTACGGCAAGGCGCATCGCGTTCCCCCGCGACCCTCTGAGAGTGGTTGCGCCCTCGGTTGCGCCTGGAGGCTCGCTCAAGTGTGTGAGAGAGAAAGAAAATCGCCCAGGTAGATACCGTATAAGTGCGAGAGAGACAGCAAATAGCCAGGTGGGACGCATGGGTGTGCGAGAGAGAAAGAAAACAGCCAGGTGGCGCGCGCATAAGTGCGAGAGAGAAAGAAAATCGCACGGTTGGACTTGCGTTGTTTTTACGGCAAGGCGCATCGCGTTCCCCCGCGACCCTCCGACAGTGGTTGCACCCTCAGTTGCCCCGTTTGATGGCACCCAGTGCGAGAGAGACGGAAAATCGCCCAGGTAGCAAGCGTATAAGTGCGAGAGAGACAGCAAATAACCACGGGGGACTTGGGTGGTTTTTCCGTCAAAGCAGCATCGCGTTCCCCCGCGACCCTCCGAGAGTCATTGCACCCTCGGTTGCCCCGTTTGAGGGCACCCAGTGCGAGAGAGACGGAAAATCGCCCAGGTAGCAAGCGTATAAGTGCGAGAGAGATAGAAAGTCGCCTTGCACGACGCGATTGTGTGCGAGAGACACAGAAAATAGGCAGGCGGCTCGCTAAAGTGTGCGAGAGAGAAAGAAAATCGCCCAGGTAGGAAGCGTATAAGTGCGAGAGAGACAGCAAATAGCCAGGCGGGATTTGGATGGTTTTTCCGTCAAAGCAGCATCGCGTTCCCCCGCGACCCTCCGAGGGTGGTTGCACCCTCGGTGGCCCCGTTAAAGGGCACAAAGTGCGAGAGAGACAGAAAATCGCCCAGGTAGGAAGCGTATAAGTGCGAGAGAGAAAGATAATCGCCTTGCACGACGCGATTATGTGCGAGAGAGACAGAAAATAGGCAGGCGGCTCGCTAAAGTGTGCGAGAGAGATAGAAAATCGCGCAGGTAGGAAGCGTATAAGGGCGAGAGAGACAGCATATGGCCAGGCGGGACTTGGGTGGTTTTTCCGTCAAAGCAGTATCGCCTTCCCCCGCGACCCTCCAAGAGTGGTTGCACTCTCGGTTGCCCTTGGCGGCTCGCTCAAGTGTGCGAGAGAGATAGAAAATCGCCTGGCGGGACGCTTGGGTGTGCGAGAGAGACACATAACAGCCAGCGGCTCGTTCGAGTGTGCGAGAGAGATAGACAATCGCCCCGCGGGACGCTTGGATGTACGAGAGAGACAGAAAACAACCAGGTGGCTCGCGCATAAGTGCGAGAGAGAAAGAAAATCGCACGGTTGAACTTGCGTTGTTTTTACGGCAAGGCGCATCGCGTTCCCCCGCGACCCTCTGAGAGTGGTTGCGCCCTCGGTTGCAATTGGCGGCTCGCTCAAGTGTGCGAGAGAGACAGAAAACAGCCAGGCAGCTCGCCTAAGTGTGCGAGAGGGATAGAAAATAGCCAAGCGTCTCGCGTATAAGTGCGAGAGAGAAAGAAAATCGCATGGCGTTCCCCCGCGACCCTCTGCGAGTGGTTGCACCCTACCCTCACTCGCCTGAGTGTGCGAGAGAGACAGAAAACAGCCAGGCAGCTCGCCTAAGTGTGCGAGAGAGATAGAAAATAGCCAAGCGTCTCGCGTATAAGTGCGAGAGAGAAAGAAAATCGCAGGGCGGGACTTGCGTTGTTTTTCCGGTAAAGCAGGCGCATAGCGTTCCCCCGCGACCCTCTGAAAGCGGTTGCACCCTACCCTCACTCGCCTGGGTGTGCGAGAGAGACAGAAAACAGCCAGGCACCTCGCCTAAGTGTGCGAGAAAGATAGAAAATAGCCAAGCGTCTCGCGTATAAGTGCGAGAGAGAAAGAAAATCGCCAGGCGGGACTTGCGTTGTTTTTCCGGCAAAGCAGGCGCCTGGCGTTCCCCCGCGACCCTCTGTAAGCGGTTGCACCCTACCCTCACTCGCCTGGGTGTGCGAGAGAGACAGAAAACAGTCAGGCACCTCGCCTAAGTGTGCGAGAGAGATAGAAAATAGCCAAG